GTCAAAGAGAGTGAGGACAGTCAGCCCTTGATCTGGGGACCATCTGTGAGAAGGGGTAGGCAAGAGTGCAAAGGGGCTTGCTAAAGCCCTTCCTCTCTGAAGCAGTCAACAGTCAACACTTGTTGGTATTAATTAGATGGATGGGGGCAGGGAACGTGCCCTGGGATAAGACCCAAAATCTTAGACTTTCTAACTGAACCCTGGGTTTATGGCCTTTCTAGTTGTAAGTCCTTACCTAATGCAAGCCTCAGTTTCCTCACCTGTGTAGTGGAACCATTACAGCTTTCTCACAGGTTTGCAGGAAATACTAAATGAAATAACACGAGATGCTTTTAAAAAGTGGGTAACAATGTCTTTATTTTAATTGCATCTACCCTACAATCGGAGATTAGGAGAGTTGAGGTTAGGAGAGTTCTTTTGAGAAGACAAAGGTTTCACTTCCACAAACATTTGCTTAGCAACCGCTTTGCGCTGCTGAGGATTGAATGAAAAAATTCAGTCTGTGTCCTCAAGGACCTCCTGGTCTACTAGGAAAGAGAGCTGAATAAAGAGGTGCTCAGTGCATAATGCATGTGGATGGGTACCTTGAGGAGGGAAGATGGGCGTGTGTGTGTGTGTGTGTGTGTGTGTGTGTGTCGGGGGTTGAGGGGGAGTCCAGGCAACTCCCACTCCTTCCAATCAGTGCAGATAGAGGGTGGGTTTGTCAAACCTCTTCCTCTCTCCAGCCTGGGATGTTCCAGCGCGTCTTCTCCCCAGTGCTCAGAAATGCGGAGGCGAGCCTAGAAGCCCCCTCCCCGCCCGCGGGCCAACCAGCCTCCCGCTCGCCGGCCGGGCGCCTTACCGAGTCAGACCACTGGGAGGCTGGGGGAGCCGGGTTGGGCGAGGAGGCGAGCGAGATGGGGGAGCTCTTATTTTGACAGGGGCCTCTCCGGGCTCTGGTATGAAGGCAGAAGGAGGCAGCCAGAGAGCCCCGATGCTTATTCAGGCTGGGGAGCGGAGCCGAGTGGAGGGGCGCGCGAGGCTCCGGCAGCGCAGGGGAGCCCGGGGAGGCGGCGGCGCGCGGCGGAGCCGGTGGCCGGACATGCCCCGGGCCCGGGGCCACTGCACCACCGCCGCCGCCCGGAGCCAGCCGGCCGGACGCCTGCACGCCGGGGTCCCCCGGCGCCGCGCCGCCTGGGGGCTGCGACCCGGACCCTCGGCGTCCGACCAACAATAAGCGCCCAGACAGCCCCTTCCCCGCCCCGCGGCCGCCGTCCCGGCGGGCCTCGGGGAAAGTGAAAGGAGGCGGCGAAGGAAGGAAGGAAGGCAGGCAGGCAGGCAGGCAGGCAGGGAGGGACGAGCAGGAGCCGGAGCCGTGAGGTTCGGGGCCGAGACCCCAGCCCCGAGCCCCGGGCCCGGCGGCTGTGCGCGCTCCCCCGCCGCTGCCGGGCGCCCACGACCATGCTCCGCGGCTGGGAGGCAGGAACCCAGGCGCCCAGCGATCCCCGGATACCCGCTCCCGGGCCGGGCTGGTATTGAGATCAAGGCGACCAGGATCAAAAGATCGCCGCCAGCCCGCCCCCCTCCGCACCTCCAACTGACGAGCAGGAGGACCCTAATCCGCCCACCGACCCTGACCTGGTCATGGCGTCCAGCTCCGGCCTGGCGTGAAGACCCCCAGCCCGCGCGAGGTGAGGGGTGGGCTGGGGCCCAGGGCGAAAGTCATGCCAGGCCAGCAGAGGCACGAGGAGGGAGAGCCAGGGTGAATTGGGGAGGGGGAAACGCAGTCTGATTGTCTCTTGCCCTCTGGCACGCACTCCTGGACTGTTTAATGGGTGGGGGACGCCCCCAGGGTTAGTGGAGGCTACTCTTGGGTCTGCAGTCAGGTTGGCAGCCCCAGAGGACACTGGGGCGGGCTTCGGGGCAGCCAGGGGACCCTGCCACCCTAGCACAGAGAACAAGGCCGGCCTTGGGCCAGCTGGAGCAGCAACCCTGCCCTGGGGGCTTCTGGGAGATGTAGTCCCCCTCCCAGGCTCCCCAACCCCTGGGGTCTCCAGTAGCTCAGCACTTCCCCCTGCCTGGTGGGAACCTTCAGAAAGAGGTGCATTGAGATTAGGGGTTGCTGGGGTCACCCTCGGTCCCCATGCACTGCCTAGGAGCAGCAGGGGCTGTGACTGGAAGAGTCTCCCCTGCAAGGATTCTTAGTGGTGTGGGTTTGGCTGGGGGTGGGGTGGGGCAGTCAGACAGTTCTTGGAGGTGTCCCTCCCCTGCTAAGGGGAGGTGGCCCCTGACTTGGTCTGAAGGGAGCCTTGGGGAGGGGGGAGAGAGGAATGTGGGGAGGAGAAGTGAGGTTTAAGGCTTCTCGCTTGGCTGAGGTATGTCCCATCCTGGAGGGGACAGAATTTGGTTTCAGGAGAGACTGGGGTCCACTCTCTCCTTTTCCTGGATGCCAAGAAGGAGAATGTCCCTCACAGACTGGGAGTCTGGAGGCTGTCTCTCTGGAGCGGTGAAGCCAGGATCAGCTTCTGTCTGTCTGTCCAGCTTCCTTCCTTCCGGGTTTTTCTGACACCCCCCTCCTCCCTCCTCCTTCTGTCTGTCTGCTGCTTGGGGTATGTGTCTGTGTCTGGGGGGGTGGAGGGGCTCTGCTGCAGGGAGAAAAAGTATTGCTCTGGGAGAGTAGAACCGGGCATGTGATTGAACCCTGGAAAAGGGGCTTGGAGGCCCCCCTGATCTTTGGCCTTGGTTTCCTGTTTTACCTAGGAAAGCGGTCTTCACATTGTATCTGTGCTAACCCAACTGATGCCTCTGGGCAGCTCTCTGATTGAGACCTCCTGGTGGGTGGACTGTCCCCCACTTTTCACCCTCCCCTTTTCAGCCTCTTCAGGGAGCAGCCACTTTTGGGCTGGGTCCCCTGACTCTTCTGCTGCCCCCACAGCACAGGCTTGGCTGCCTCCTTTGGGTCAGCACCAGGATTTCATGGCCCCAGGGGAAGCATGTTCAGGCCCTGTTTTCCTGGTGTCAGCTCCAGATGCCCACTGATAGAAGCCTCAGGACAGGGTGAGAATGGATGAGGAAGGAGAAGGGCAGGAAAAGTTTGGTGCCAGGAAGGAAGGTTCTACCTCCCCAGGTGATTAGGCTCCTCGATGGCCACTTCCTTGTAGAGATTCTCTGCTTACCTGTGTTGCTCCTGATTGGGGTGGAGTGGAGTGGGGATTAATGTTGGCAAGGGTTCTGGTGAGTGGTAGCATGCCCAGAATCTTGGATCCAGTGTAATTCTTGTGTTCGGGGCAGCAGAGACCCCGTGGCTGGAGATGGGTTCTGGAGGTCCATGTGGAGGCTCAACTTAAGTCTCTAATTACTAAGGATGTGGGTCAAGGTTGGGGAGGGATTACAGTATCCTGAAGAAGGATCAATGGTCCACAGAAATCCGGGGCTAGCACAAAGCGGTAACGTGGGGACCTAGTGATATTGCTTGTTGAATCTGCCTTGGGCACCCATGACTCTGTTTGGGTAGCTCCCACCTCCCAGCTCTGAGGTACATGGGTTAAGCAGGAGCTCTAGGCCGGGAACGCAACTTCCATGAACAGGCCGGGCAGTAGCCTTCTGGGCAGAGGCCTAGTGGGTGGCAGTGTCGACTCAGCAAGGGCTGGAATGCCTGGCACCTGCTTTAGATTAAAGGAGATGCCTGCAAAGGGGGGCTGCCTGCCTGTGGGGGGAATGGCTGGGATGGAGCTCCACGGAGCCCAGGAGTGGGGTGGGAGGAAAGGACTAGGGCTGCAGACAGCAGCCGCTCTGGCAGGAGTGGAGGGAGCCAGCGGTCCCCCAGCTCTGTAGTCTCTCCTCCAGGGAGTCTAAGGCAGGAGCTGGGAGCACCTTCACATGGCTTCTGGTGCCATAGGCTATAGTCCTGCCTGTCATTGCGCCCTGGGGCAGCTCTGGGGACCCATGGTGTCTAAGTGTCCAGTCTTCCCCAGATCAGGAGAGGCCTAAAGGAGGTGGGGGGCACTTAGGGATTTGTGCTTTCCTAATGCCATGGTTATTTTCCCTGGGGCTCTTTGGTTGCTGAAAGTGAGGCACCACAAGAACCTGAGCACCCAGGGATGATGGGGAAATGGCATCCCTTCTTTCGCCAGGCAGTCCTGGGCACTGCCCGGGTGCTGACCTGGGGGAAGGGGCATAAGGGGGATGGCACCGTGGGAAAGTGGGCAGCCGTGGGATCCAAGCGGGTACAGACTGGGTGCCGCAGGCAGGGAGCCTCTGCCAGCCCTGCTTTCCCTGGGGTGGGGCTGGCAGTTCCAGGGACTGGCTCAACCTGTTGAGCACCTGGCTGCTCTAGCTTGGCATCTGTGCCCCTGCCTGCCAGTCCCACCAGCTGCCCACCCAGAGCCACACTGTGGGGGCTGCTCTCAGAGGTCTGGGGGAAGGAGGCTCTGCCTGGCCAGTGGGCCAGAAAGGGATTGGTGGGGGCACCACCACCAGGGCCGAGGAGCTTGTCCAGGGAGCCCTAAGTTTCCTGGTCTGGCCTCTATCTACCAGAGTCGGGCCTAGAACCAGTTGGAGGGCCAGGGAGCCAGCAGCCTGGAGCGGAGGGACTGAATGGAGAAGACCACAGCACTATAGCTCCTGAGGTGCTGCCTGTCACTGGGATGGGCGGCCCTGGAGGCAGCCTGGAGTTACAGCCTGGAATTTCCTCTGCCGGGTGCCAGGGCCAGGCCTCCAGAGCCCCACCCCCAGCCTGGCCTGACCTCCCCTCCCTGGGAGAGCTCCGCAGACTTTCCCTGGAGGCTGGGGGAGGAGCAGTAAGGGCTTTCTGGCTGCCCTGGAGGAGAGGGGTGACTTCCTGGGTGTGGGGGTCGGTTGCACAGCCTCAGTCTCCCCAGGGCCTCTTGCCCAAAGGAGAGGAGGAAAACCCAGGGTTTCCAGGGAGATGCCCCCTTGGCTTTAAGTGTGGGGAGTCCTGGGCCCCATGGAAGCTCCTTGACCCCTGCAGGCCCTTGCTGGCTGCCCCCCCCACCCCTCCACCCCCCCCACGTCCGCCCCAATCCTTTAGCTTTAGACTCAATTTGCAGCTCTGCTGGCTGATGGGGAAGGGGAGCCAGGGTGCCAACCTAGAGAGGTCAGCATGGTTACCTATGAGTAAGAGGAAGGGGCACATGTAGGCTCCCCCTCCCCTTAGTTTTGAGAAGAGAGGCCTCCCCTGTCTTCCTAATTTTCCAGTCAAAAGCAGAGGCCTATCCTATGCCTTTTTTTCCAGCCCCCAGGCCCTCCCTGATTGGCTCCAGGCCCCCAGCCCCTCCTAACCTTGGTGTCTCTTCTAGTCTCCCTTCCCCAGGGGCTGGGACTCTCTCTGTCCAACCCCCTCCTCCAATGGGCTGGTGGCCCTGTGCTGGCCTGTCTTCCCCTCCCCTTCCCCACCCCCAGCCTCAACTTGGAATGGCCCTGAATCCAGCATTTCCAGCATTTCGAAACCAGGATTGTTTTGAAATCTGTGAGTGCTTCTCCACCCCCTCTGACTCCCCTCCTCCCCACTAGCCCAGAATTTAGTCCTCTAATCTGACTTCACGCTGTGCATTGCCAGGGTGTATGTGTGAGTTTGTGTGCCTGCACATGGCCATGTGCATTCTACTGTGTGTGTCCCTGACTGGGTGTATCTTCTGTCTGTCGGCAGTCCTGTGTGACTGACCCATGTGGGATGCTTCCTGAACTCCTGGGGCCATCTTTATCAGCACAGGAGCTTCTAAGTATCTGAAGGAGCCAGTCTTGGGGAGTTTGGGGGTGGTGTGAGGCGGTTACTTGGATGTGCATCTTTGGGAATTGTGTCTGGGAGACTCTGAGGAGTGTGTGTGCCCGGGTTTGTGTCTCTGATGAGTTACATACGTGTGCAAGTGCCCTCGTGTGTGCTGCTTCTGTTCCCGCCTCTCCCTGGGAACCCGTCTGGGGAGTATAGTCACTGGTCTCCCCATAGCTCCCTGAGACATGGAGACCTCTGTCCTTTGATAGGGAGGTTCTTGTTGTGGGGCCAAGGCTCTAGCTGTTCTGCAGTCACTGGAGGCGAGTGGTAGAGTGGGGAGACTTCGGAGCGACTTGCTCCAGTGGGAACCAGGCACAACAGTCGCATCAGATCTGGAAGGTTGGTGGAAAGTTTAAGGTTCAGAAAAGTTGACTTCTCTATCTGGGAGCAGAAGACAGAGGAGTCAGGAATCCTCAAGGGGGTGATGTGCCACCCCAAAATATGAGGTGTTTGGAGCAGACCAGCTGTTCTTGTCGCCTTGATCCTGGGGTATCCTTCTTAATGGTTAAGCTCATCCCTTCCTTGTACATTAGTGTTCTATGGTGTGTGGGGAGGCTGCTGCTGCTTCTTTTTTCTTTTCTTTTCTTTTTTTTTCTTTTTTTCCAAAACAAAGGTTGTGGTAGCAGAGTTATGTCAACAAGGGGTAGGGGCACTGGAACCTCTGACATCTTGCTAGGACTCAGTTTCCCATTCTGGGATCTCAGGCTGTAATTACATGCTTTCCTCTAGAAGAACTTGGGACAAATCACTTAGGAGGAAGAGCATTGGGGCTGTTTGAGTCAAGGCCTGTGGAGACAGCAGCAGCAGGAGGTGGGCAGAAGGATAATCTGTCCCTTTTACACACACACACACACACACACACACACCCATGGCCTCTGGTCCCAGGACGCAGTGGGAGGAAGGGAGGGGTAGAGGCACAGGTTGGTACAGTGCTCAGTGACCCAGCTGGGGGAGGGCCTTGGCAAGGAATTTTCAGTTTGTTTCTCAATCTCTGTCTCTGAGACACGCACACACACGTCACTGCAGACACCTTCAGGAGATGAGGCCAGAAAAGTCACCAGGTGGCTGGAGGGCAGGGTGTGACCAGAGGGGCCATGTGGAAGGAACCTCTCTATCTTGCAGCCACCTGTGCTTATCCCCTAGCACTGGAAGTGAACCCCACTCAGGTCCTCCCCCAACTCCCCTATGCTGGGAGTGGGAGCCACGCAGGCTGGAGAGGGTTAAGTCTGGTTGGCAGGGACACCCACCCCCCCTGCCCCCAGTGCAGTGGGAGAGAGGGAGAGAGAGGTTAAGAGCAAGAGGGAGAGAGGGAGAAGGGGGTGGGAGAGAGAGAGAGAGAGAGGGAGAGAGAGGGAGAGAGAGGTGGTTAGCAGCTTGCTCTAGTTGGCGTCTCTCCCAGAATTCTTCGGAAAAGAACTCCCCTTTGACCCCCAGCACAAACTGAGCCCAGCCACCAGCCTCCTCCTGCCTGTCTGTGGAAGCTTCACCCAGCCCCCTCCAACTGTAGTACTAAGCCTGATCCTCTTTCCTAGGCCTTCCCAACCAGGCCAGGTCCCCAAGACTTTTCCTCTCAGGTGATGAGGGGTATAGCCAAGGAGACCACACAGGGCCTAGGATCTATACCATTCCTTTCTCTAACTTGGAATAACCTTGGGGTGACTGACACTGAAAGCTGGGGTTCTCAGGCCTCCCCACCTCCCCCTTCCTCCCTGGTCCTCAGCCCAGGTCTGGGAGTCCTCAGTCCCTCCTTTCTCCCTGTGGGGCCAAGGTCTGAGGCATCTTCTAGTACCTTCTCCTTTCCTGCTTCCAGGATAGGGAGGGGGAGCCTAGTGGTGGGGCAGCTGGGTCAGGTCTGGCGCCTAGCCAGTCCACAGAAGTCTTGGGGGTAGGGGGGTTAGAGTAGCCCGAGACTTCCTGGAGCTGCAGGCCGTGTGGATGTGTGTACATGTTTATGTGGTGTGGTGCTGGGGGTGGGGCTGGGGTTATGGGAGGAGCAGGGGCTTGGATTGCTGGCCAGGGCTTCTAGCTGTGACCCTCTCTCCACAGGGACCCCCCATCCCAGACCACACTCTTGAGCCTGAGCCCGACACATTGCTCCTGAGGTGAGAGGTGCCTGTGCTCCTGTGTTCTGCGCAGCCTGGCTGATCTGTCTGCCATAGCCTCTGCTTGGCTTTTTGTCTTGGGCACCTTCCTCCTGGCTTTCTGCCTCCACTTCTCTTTTCATTCCTCTCCCCACAGAGTTGGGGGGCTAACAGTCATACAACCTGGAACGTGGTAGGGAGTGAGTGGGGGTGGGTTGGGGCAGGAAGGTCTCCTATCCCCTGAGTGGAGGTGGGAGGTGGGTGCTCTAGTCCCCTCACCCTGGAAGGCAAGGTAGAATTTCCTGGTCATCTCAAGCAAGCTCCCCCATAAGCAAGCTCCCCCTGCTGCTGGCTTTGGCCAAAGCCAGGGTGGCTACCAGCCACTGAAAAGTGGTTTCTGCCCTGGCCCCTAGACACACACACACACACACACACACACACACACACACACACACACACACACGCTCGCACGCACACCACACACACATGCTCTCTCCCCACTGCCACCCCCCTCCTTCCCTCCCTCCCCTACTTCCTTACTTAGCAACAACTCCCTGAATTCACAACAAACACGTCTGCCTGTTGGCTCCTGGTCTGACTAGGGAAAGCTGGAGCAAGCTGAGGCCTGGAAGGGGGCGCTTCTAGACTGTCCCGGGGAGACAGGGGCTTCTTAATTCCCCACCCTCCCTGCTCAAGGCCATTACTCCTCAGGGGCAGAGAAGCAATGGTCTTGCTTCCAAGTTAGGCATTAAAAAAAGTGGGGAGCTGGGACAGGTGTGACTGAGCAGGAGGCCAGGGCTTGGGGTCCACTCCTCACTAGGGAATCCTACTTGACCTTTGACCTCCCACCTGGGGAAAGGTGGGGCCACTGACTCCTCTTCTGCCTCTTGGGCCTCTCTCTACAGGGGTCTTATGCTGTTGTTATGGTGACTGGCCAAACTCCCCACCCTGGTTTAGGGACTGGGATGGGTGAGGATGCCCAGGGGGTGGGGTGGGCGGGGCTATGGGGTGGCTCTAGAACTTTGCTCTCAGAGCACCAGCCTGGCAGGGCACCTGTGCTGAGGGGGTGGGGACTGGTGCCCTCTCTTTGATCTTTTCCCTGGGCAGGATCTGTGGCCTCTAGCTAGGTCCTGGCACAGGGTATGTAGGGAGGGTGGGTGTGTGGAATGAGGGAGTGAGGCCCCCATTCCTCTGTCAGAGTTCAGAGGGCTGAGACCAGGGTGAAACCATATTGTGAAATGGTTAAGAACCCCATTGCTGGAGTGTCTGGTTCAAATCCTGACTTCTGGACTGCATGCATTGAATAAGTCACTTCACTTCTCTGGGCCTCAGTTTTTTTGGCTGTGAAGTGGGAATAGCAGAAGTACTTTCTTGACTTGTTCTGAGAATGAAATTGGACCAGGTCTGGGAAGCACTGAGAGTCTGACCCCTGACGTGACAGCAAATGCTCACTACACGCTGGAGATCCTCCTTGTTGTTATCAACCACAGTTCTTCACCGGAACTTTCGGCCCGCCCTGGGCTTTAGCAGGGGAGGAATTGTTGAGGGTGGGAGGTGTGTGGAGGTGGGGTAGAGACAACCTTTTCAGCGCTTCAAACTCTTAGATTCCAGTACCAGTCCAGATCTACCTTCTAGTTTCCCAGCTGACACCTGAATGGCAAGTTTGCCAAGTAGCCACAGGCCTGGCATTGGCTTCCCCCAACTTCTAGTACTTCCCAGGGCTGTGCCTCCCTCCCCCAGGTTGTTAGCTCAGCTTGGCTTCAGCACCCCTTCCACCTCCCATCCCCTGCTGCTCTGTTCTTTCACCTGGCTGGACAAGACGTTCTGTCCTTACATGGCTTAAATGGTTGCTGCCTCTCCTTCCTGGCCTAGGGGATCAGGGACCTTCCTTGGGGAGAAAAGTGGCAGCATGGAACTGTGATGTGGAAGGCAGCTGTTAAGCCAGCTTCAGGACCCAGGGTCCCTTGGAGCGTCTGTGCCTTCCCTGAGCATTGTCCTCTGAGCATGCGGTGCACTGTCCAGGCCTAGGATATGTACAGAAGCCTAGAGGGGCCTGCCTGGCATCTGCTGGGCACAAATGTACTGGGTGGAGGCAGCTTCAAACCCAGAGGAGGGGGTGCGATCTTATTAGCATCCACGGCAATCCAGAGGGCACCCCTAGAATAGTAAGTCAGTACTGGAAAAGATTTTGCTTCAGGCTCAGGTGCCCTGGGGAGTGGAGGTGCTGCTGGATGGCCAGGCTCCTAAAGTCTCTGGGATGGCGGTGGTATGGGGGAGGGCTGAGGCTTGGGAACTTCTAGGTGATGAGGCCCCGAGTGAGCATCAGGGGTGGGCTGCCCAGCTGAGGGGAGCTATGCAGGTAGGTGGTTTAGATCTTCTGGGGGGTGAGTGTCCAGATCTCTGGAGAAAGTTGATTAAGATGTGGCAGAAGAATTTGGGATACCAGGACTCCTGGCTCTGAGGCCTGGGCTTGGTTCACAGGTAGCTCCTCTAACCTGGTAGCAAAAGGAGTGGAGAGGAGCCCCTGGCTCTGCTCATACCACCTCCTTCTGGGGCCAAAGGGGACAGCTCCTTCCTTGGGCCTGGGGTAAAGGCTCAGAGTTGGCCTGGGCCATGTCTCATGTCTGGCCTGGCCATGCCTCCTGTGCCCAGTCCCTGGGGCCTGTTCCTTGGACAGGCTGGGGCTATTTTTGGGATCGGGCTGGGGCTCTGGGGCTGGTTTCAGATGTTCCAATGTGAACAGGAGAAAATGGGAACAGATGGCTGGAGGGTTCCAATCAGCGGGTCCTGCTGGGAGCAGGTTATTTTTAGGGCCTTGTTAACCCTTTGGGGCCTTGTAAAGCCACCCTGAGAGGGGCAGCCCTTACAGTTGAGAACAGGTCCTCTCCTTGGGCCCCGACTTTCTAGAATCGCATGTTCCCCATTGCTCTTTTCCCCTCTCTCAAACCTGCCACTGTTTAAAGAGATCTGAGGCAAGAAGGTAGGTTTCTCCTTCTTCCCTGCTGAATCCTGTAGGGTGATACTAGGGGGTCAGATAGCAAGAGTAGAGGAGATCTGTGCCACTCTTCGGAGGGAGACTGGGAGCTTGGGGTTTTGAGACACAGATGTGAGGCTAAGAGAATGGACAATACCTTTCTGGGCTTATGCTCTGTGGTGGTGTGTGTGCCAGTAAACCCAGTGATGCCCAGGGGAGTGGCTGAGGGAGTTGCACTTTGCGAGGAAGATGGAGGAAAAGCCAAATCTTTATATTTGGTACCACTAATATGATGCCCAGGGCTACTCCAAGGGCAAATACCTGAATAATACCCACCTTTACCATTATAATGCTCACATATTTGGGTAAGATATAAGGGGCATCACCACCAGGGGTGGTGTGTTGAGGGCTGAATATGCCATAGGCATTCTGTTAGATAGTTCCTCTCTATATATAAATTTATCCCCATTTTGTGGATGAGGAAACTGAGGCTCAGGGATGAAGGAATGGGCAAGATCCTGCAGCTCAGAGGGCAGGGATGTGACTGGTACCCCGTCTATCTGACTGCAAACCCATTTTTCATCTCACTGCACCGCTTACACTGCCTGCCAGTGTCTCACTCCCAAAGGACAGAGGCTGCCTGGGCACCGGCCCTCCTCAGGGAGCAGATTTATTAGAAGGTGTAGGAAAGGAGGCCTGGGGGCTGGGGACCCTGCCTGTTATTGTGCTCCCAATCCCCTAAGCCCTTCTTGCCTGAGGGTGCCAGGACTGACACCAGAAACCCCATTTGGCCTTCCTGTCTTCCCTGCTGGAGGATCACAGGCACACATCCTGTCTCGGCAGCCCCCACCCCCCTGTCCCGGCCCACGTGCCCCTGCTTCCTGTAGGGTCATGGCAGCCTGGATGGCAGCTTGGGCAGAGCTCAAGGGCCCTCCAGGTGCTGCTGGTGCCAGGAGTTTGGGTCAGGCCAGTGAGGTGAGGGGGCTGGGAAGCTGTCTCTGCTGCTGCCTGTACCTGGGGGAGAGAGCAGAGCAGAGGGCAGGCTGGCGAGGGCCGCCTGTGGTGCTCAGGCTGTGCCAGCAGTCTGCCCGCACTCCACTCCTCCCACAATGGTCCCATTGTTCCCAGCCGCCAGGCAGTTTGGAGGAGGTTCCTAGGCCACCCTTACCCCCCCTTGAGCCCCCCCAACAGGGCCCAGATTAACCCCTTGGAGAACAGAGGCCAGGTGAGTCCTGGAGGGAAGCCCTGCCCCTTCCTCCCTTCTGGGAATCCAGGCTTGAGAAGTCACTTTCTAGCCACATATACCCAGCAACAGGGCATCTCTGAAGATGGGGGTCTCCCACTCGGTAGGGAGTAGTTCCTAGACCCTCGCCCACCCCCACTGGGGTGCAGGTGCCAGGGGGCAGGAAGTGCCAGTGGGGTGGCAGGCAGAGACCAGATATATTTGGGCTGGTGGGGCTAATTCCAGCCACCACCGCCTGCCCTACTGGCTCCTGAGCGCCTTTCCTTCCTGTGAAACCAGAGCTGGGTTGGGCCTAGCTCAGGATTTCGGTGGATTTAAAGAGGCAGCACCATCCTTGCCAGCCTGGCTTCCTCTCCCCCTCCCCAGGTAGGGTCTGGGGCAGAGAGAGGACTGGAGAGTTTCTCGATACTCCCTCCCCAACAGCTAACCCCTGGCCCTTGCCCCCTTGGGGTACCAGGCTTTGGCACTCCTAGCTCCCAGAGCTTTGGGCGGGTGGGGTGGGCGGGGGTGGGCTGTGGTTTCCTGTGTTGGCTGTTTGTGCCTGGCCTAGAGTGCCCGCCGCCTGCCTGGGCTTCCTGCCCTGTCTTGTTTCCTTGTGCCCCCCACCCCCTCCTCCTCCACCTCTTGTGGGAGGGAGCAGCCAGGGATTGGGCCACCGCCTTTGGGGGCACCCCGCTGCCAGGGTATGATTGCTTCCTTAGGCCTCACCATACTGACACTGGCCATACTGAAGGAGCCAAGTGAGGTGACCTCAGGCTTGTCCCAGCAATGCTACTTGTTCCTAGTCTCTAGAAGGAGCGTGGCCACCAGAATGGGCAGAATTCTCCCTTACCCCCCCCAGAAGCACCCTGTTCAAAGAACCCAGACTAGAAAGTTCTGGGACCAGAAGTTTCCATGTCCCTGTAGGGTTGGGGTTGCCTGACATTACCCTGGGGCTGCTGGTGGGGGTGGGGCTGGAAACTCCCAGACAAAAATGGTTGATTCGCATGGTCTCCTTTGGCAGGAGGTGGGGAGAAATGGGGTGAGCTGCTAGGAACCAGGGTGAGGGGAAGGCCCTCTGAGTCTGGAAGTCCCCACTATGAGGATCCCAGAGTAATACTTTGATTCTGGTGGAGGTTTCCTGCTGGGCTACAAATCCTTGACCTCCCACCCTGTCACCACCTCAGGAAGAGGAGGGGACCTGCCGGCAGAGGAGTGCTCTAGGGACCTAGGAGTCCCAACATCCAGAGAAAGGGGACTCTGGTCCTTTTTGGGGGGCCCCAGCTCCCAGAGTCAGGCTAAGGATCCCACCCCAAGGGCTTTCAACATCAGAGGGTCCCAGTGGTCCACTCCCCTCCCTAGAGGTGCCTGCCCAATGCATGTAGCACACGGACCTTCCAGGCAGTTTTCTCATTGCCTGTTTGGGGGAGGTTTTGAGATTGGCAATGGCAGGCTGGCTGGGCAAACAAGCTGAGGCTCCCAGCATAGGGGCAGCTGGCCATGGGCAGGCTGCCACTGGTGTGTGGATGCCCGTTGTACCTGTGGCACTTCTGTGTTGAGCAAGGAGCTGACATGTCACACCTGGAGGCCCTGGGCAGCCATCACAGCCTTCTGGTGTCTGCTCACAGGGGTCAGGCCCACTCTAACCCTTGGGCCACTGCCCGGTGTCCCCCATTAGCTACCCCAAGAGGGCAAAAGATCTAAAGCTCTTTGTCTTGGAAGCCTCTTGGGCTCCCTTCTCTTGGGTATGCTCTGGGCCTTTCACTCAGGTGACTTGCACCTGCTCCCTGTTTGCGAGCGCATATCACCACTCCCCACGAGCTGGTGATAGGGAGTCAGAGCCTCCTGCTCCCACAGCCCCCTCCCTTTCCTTTCAGCCAGTGCTGGGGGCCCTTGGCCCATTGCTGGAAGCCCCCTTTACTCGTTGTTCATTGAAAGCTCTACCCACCAGGATCAGCCCTCCGGCCTCCCATCCCTGAGGCCTTCCACACCTCTATGGGGCTGAGTGGGTAGAGGAGGAGGGGTCTCTGAGAGCAAGGGCCGACTCCTGAGGGGTAAAGGGGGGGGGATGTATGAGATGGGAAAGTCCTGACTCATCCCTGCTTGACTCAGCTCGCCCTGCGGCTGGGTGGGAACTAGGGGGTGGAGTCCTAGAGGCGAGGGTGACTCCAACATTCTTCAGGGGAGGAGCCTTGGCCTGACTGGGGACACTGGAGAGGACTAACTTTCTAACAGCCCCATTGCAAATTATTACAGGTCCCCAATATTGAAACTATGAATATGGGAGGTGGTGGGTGGTCCTTACCTTGCCCTTCCCACCCCAGGGTGTGGGCCCAGTGGTTAGCAGGTGGGAGGTCACCGATCAGGTGCACACTTAGATGGCATTTCATGAGTGAAGGGAGGAGGACACTGCAGTGAGGGGAAAGACCAAGATGTGGCACTGGGGTCTGGGCCATGGCTATGCACTGGTCACATGACCCAGGGGCGTGTCACTTCCTCTTCCTAGCCCTGTTTCCTCCTGGTGAAAGGGGGATAATAATACCAGCCAGGTTCCCAGGTGGGTCGTTTTGAGGATCAGCCAGGTGGGCGAAGGTGAGAGCCATGTCAACCTTGGCTCGCCCCTTCGCTCAGGCGCTGAGTCCAGCTGTGTCTACTCTAACCTGAGGTGATAGGGGAGATGGGGGCTGGCAGAGGGCTGCTTCCCAATCAGGCCCTGGACTTTGGAACCTTCCCCTGAGGAGCCTCTTTTCCCAGAGACAGAGCTGGATCTCAGAAGGCCAGTGTGCCCCGGGGTTAAATCAGGGTTAGACTCCCACAGGGTCACGGGTGGGGCCCTTTCACTCCGTTTCCCAGCCCAGCCTCCAGCCGTCCGCAGGGAGCCGCGGGAGTGTGCAGTGGGGTCTGGCCGGGCCAGTCCCCACGACCGAACTCCTGGGCCCAAGACGCCGCCCTCCCCTCCCCCGCTCCTCACAGGGCCCCGCGGGAGGGGGCAGGAGACGGGGCGGGGGGCAGCTGGGTGAGGCTCCCGTGTTTGTGTGAGTCTGTCTGTTGGTGTGAGTCTGTCTATGGCCTCGTGTGTGTCTCTCTGCGACTGCCAGGCTCGACTCTCCGTGGCTCCCTGGCGGCCGGCCTCAGTCTTTCCATCCGCGCAATGAGTCTCCGCGCGCGGGCGGCCTCGGGGTCCGCGCGCGCCCCGGGCTGTTCCGGGCGCTCCTGCTTGGGCCGGCGCCTCCCTCGGCCCCCGGCGCACCCCGGCGGGTCGGCGTGAGCGCGCCTCCAGTTTCCTGGGCGCCGTGCGTGTCTTTGTCTCCCCGTCCACGTGTGCGCTGTGAGTGTGTGAGTCAGAGTTCGGGGTGCTCGTGGGTCTCCCTGGCGGCGCCCCACGCTCAGCCGACTCTGGCCCCGCCGCGGCGCGCGCCCGGCCCCCTCGCCGCACTTGGCCGTGTGTCTGTCCGCGCGGCGCGTGCGGCCCGGGGAGGCACCGCAGCCCTGTCCGCCTCCCGCTCCCTGGCTCGCTGGCTCCTTCCTCGCTCGCTCGCTCTGGCCTCTCCGCTCGGGCTCTGCCGAAGGGGGCGGGGTGGGGTGCAGGGGGGGGGGAGGGGAGGCTCCTGCATTCTTGCGGTCGGGGAGGAATCTGAGCCAGCGTTACTGGTCTCCAGAAGAGCCCAGCTGCAGCCCGGGGCCCCGCCAGGCCTCTCGCTGCCCGCCCGGGCCTGCTGGGATGGGCACGGGCTAGGCCTCGAGCTGGGGGCGGGGCGGGGCACGGCCCCCACCCCAGCCCCCCTCGGCCCCCTTCACGCCGGGGGGCGCCCTGGGCCTGGCGCCGCGCTAGCAGCGGGGCGTAAGGGGTTCCCCACCTTGGGGGAGGGGCGTGCCAGGGGGCGGGAGTCCCCTAGGGGGCCAGAGCAGACCTCAAGGCCGCCCCACACGGCACCTTTGCAATTCCTTTTAGTGGATTCTGCCTCTGCGGCCTGGGGGGTGGGGGTGGGGGTCTGGCTAGAGACTGCAGGCTCCCTGAGGGTCCAGCGAGGGAGGGATGGACATAGGACTGGCCTCTAGGACTGAGACCCCACCTAGTAGTCCTTCCTTCCCGTTCCCACCCTACCCTACCCAGTTCCCTAGTCCCAGGGCTGTTGGGTCCTCCCTTCTCCCCTCCCCTACTTCCACCCCCTCCCCAAGTCACAAGTTTTCTCTTTGGGGCTTGTTGCTGCAGTCCGTGCTCCAGTACCGAGTACCTGGCTGGGCCCTGGGCACGCACAGGGGCCGTAGCCCCACTGTGTGTGGCAGCCATGAGGATCCTGGCTAACAAGACAAGGTGTGTGGGTGTCGTGGAGGGCGGGATGTGTGTGTGTGGCGTGTGGGAAGGGAAGGGGCCAGTGGTAATGGGGCCGAGCAGTGCTGGCGTGGAGAACCAGCTCCCCTGGGCACCTGACTTCCAGGTCACCTGTGGGCTAAAGGGGGGTCAGAACGGGAAGGCCTGCCCTGCGGCAGGAATCCACAGCCTCAGTGCCTGGGCCCAGGGGACAGGGGGAATGGCAACCAGCTATGCCTGCAGTTCTAGTTGCTTCCAGCCCATTCCTCCTCAAAGGGTTTGAGCAGACCCCCAACCAACCCACTGGCAGGTCCAGTGGCGCCCTCTGGCCTCAGTCTAGCTGAGGGTGGGGAGCTGGACGGAGGGGCGGTGCCTGCTTCCCTCCCCTTCCCCAGGAGAAGCCAGCAGACAGGGCCAGGCGGCAGCAGCAGGACAGCAGAGCTGAAATAAATCTGAGCTGGTGTGGAATGAGGGGGGATAAATATCCTCTCCCGTGATGTGATCTTTCCAGCGGCTATTAATAGGTCTCCGGGGAGGGGGAGGCGGTGGGGGGAGCGGGCTGGAGCTTAAAGGGCCCGCAGCCGAGACTGCAGGAATCCTTGGCTTCTAGAAACACTCCAGTTGGCTCCACACACCACTCCCCTCCCCCTTTCCTCCTGCTCCTGCCTGCCCGCCAGGCGGACCCTCTGCAGGCTCTCCCCTCCTGCTCCCCTCCTATCTGAACCAGTGGGTACCAGTCTCTGGTGTGCTTTTCCCCACTTCCCCAGGGGAATGAGGCTGGGGCATGAGCAGTGACTCTCCCAGTCCTGTGCCCTTTCCTGGCTGGTGTTCGGACACGTGGAAGTTGAGGTTGGGACCTTGGAAAAGAGTCTGAAGACAGCAAACCCTAGAAGAAAGGATGCTTAAGTGTGGTCAGGTGCTAGTTGAGGGGGGGGGGTGCCATGGCAGATTGTAGTCTGATGAATGCTGAGGCAGGGTGGGGAGTGGGGGGTCCGTTCTGTCAACAGGCCCTGGTTTTCATTTGAATTGTGGGCTGGGGATGAAGACCATCTTCACTCCCCAGGGTGGAGAGGGGCGATTGCCCTCCTCTGAGCAGCCATGGAGGGATGTAGCTCAGCCCCCACCTCCCCTGCCACTAAATGAGGCAGAATGGGGCAATTAAAATCCAGGCATGCCAAGGGCTTCATGATACTAACTTTCTGTGTCTCTCCCACCTTCTCCCAGGTTACCCCACCCCAGGAGGAGAGAAGCTCCAGGGAGCCCGCCGCTGTCCCCACGCGGCCACTGCCCCCCTGCCCCAGCCAAGCCAATGCACTCAGAAAATAAGTTGACCAATCATGGCAAGACAGGGAATGGCGGGGCCCAATCTCAGCACCAGAATGTGAACCAAGGACCCACCTGCAACCTGGGCTCCAAGGGCGTGGGGGCGGGGAACCATGGGGCCAAGGCCAACCAGATCTCACCTAGCAACTCAAATCTGAAGAACCCCCAGGCAGGGGTGCCCCCTTTCAGCTCGCTCAAGGGCAAAGTGAAGAGGGAACGGAGCGTATCTGTAGACTCTGGAGAGCAGCGAGAGGCTGGGACCCCATCCCTGGATTCAGAGGCCAAAGGTACCCCATTTCCTAACCCTCAAGACCCCAACCCCTTACAGTCCAAGGCCTAAACTTGCTGGGAGGTGACAGACAGTCTTTCTGTCCCTCTGGGCTAACCCGCATGCCCTGCTCTTCTCCAGCATTTATGCGGGCCACCTTTTCTTTCCCTCACTGTATCCCCCAACCTGGTCCAGTCTCTGAGGATTGGGGTTGGTCAGGTTCCAAACCTCCTATCTTTAGGTGCCACCCCTGGAGGGGCCACATGGAATGATGGGGTTTCTGTCAGTCTCATTCCCCTCCTGTTTTCCTAGCAGAGCCACCCTCCTCCCTCCAGGGGGAGAGAGAGGTGCTCGAGGGTGAGGAGCAGACCCACACACCTCCCAGGAACCTCCTGGTATCCCAGCTGCTGGGAACCGGGGAGCAGGCACTGGGGCCTGGAAGAGTAGCAGCGGCTTCCCCCTCCCCCCTAGCCCTAATTAGAACCAGTTGTGGTTGGGGATTATGCTGTGCTGGGTGTGGTGGGGGAGGGGAGGCAGGCAGCAGGGCTGTAGAGAGAAATCAGAAACAAATGGTGGTGTGGTGGGGTCTGGCAAAGTGCCCACCGTGGCCTGGGCAGTGCCCTCTGGGGTGGGCATGTTGGAGAATGGGCCTGGGAGAGATTCAGTGTGGGAGGATGGGACCTCCCAGGACCTCTGGGCATTCACTCTGACCCTTGCCTGCCTCTGTCCGTCCTGCCTGGGCAGAGGTGGCACCCCGGAGTAAGCGGCGCTGTGTACTGGAACGGAAGCAGCCGTACAGTGGGGACGAATGGTGCTCAGGACCGGACAGCGAGGAGGACGACAAGCCCATTGGGGCCACCCACAGTGAGTGCCCACTGAAGCCAGGATGCTGTGACTGGTGCCTCTGGGGGATGGCTGCCCTGGGAGCCTCCCTGTCCTCACCTTGGGCGTTAGAGGGCTGAGACTGCGCAAGGAGCAAGCAAGGATCAGGAGCCCAGACTTCTGTTCCATCTCAGGCTCTGTCCCTCCCTGCACTGGGATGGCCCAGCCCCTACTTTCCAGGTACTCAGTGGCCCCCTCTCCCTAGGGACCAAGGTGAGGTCAGCCTCAGGTGGCTCTTCCTGGCCACACCACTTACACCTTTACCGTGAATTCCTGGCTTATGCTGCCACCTACTGTTCAATGGAGGGAGGGCGGCAAGGATCCGGCACCCATCCCACTGGCAGTAGGCTCTGGTATGTGAGGCCTTGCTTAGCCTGGGTGTGAGCTGAACTGGCCGTGGCTGTGTCTCTGGCACTCTTCCTAACCTCTGAGTGACTCCTGGCAAGTGCCTGGAGTGTGTCACCAGGATGAGGAATGGGTGTGAGCGATGCCCACTCCTCATTCTTTTATTGATCAGTGTGTAATTGGGCTTTCCACAGGTGACGGGGGAAGGCCAGACACAACCCAGTTACTTGGTGCTTTTCCTCAAAACTTACATCTTTTGGGGGGTAGGGGGTGATGGCAACTTAAGACATAAGAAACTAGCCGAGGAATATTAAGTTGTGAACTTGTTGAAAGACAGAGGATAAAAAGAAGAAAAAAAAATACTGGCTCTTTACTATTTTGCTTTATTTAATCCTTAGCAAAGCTCTGTGAGGTAGGTGTTGTTATAATGCTGTTGTAGGGGAGGCAGTAGACTGAGGAGATGTTTGTGGAATGCACTGACCATCTCCATGGAAGTGGGATCAAACTTGTGGGATGGTACATGGGATCAAACCCTGGGTCTCTGAAGCTGGCTAGAACTTTAAAGTTCACCTGGTCCCAGGCCGGCCTTCCCCAGGGGACTCACTGGCAGTCACGACCCTCTGGCTGAACCCCTCAGTGATTGGTAAGGGTTGTCACTGCAACCCAGGAAATATCCCCTCCGCCCCTGGCCATTCCCTTTTATAGCATTAAACTAGATCCCTGTAGAAATGGGAAGACGAGAGATACTCGAGGAAACAACCAACACCCATCCCCAAGACCAAGGCAGTGGCTGTTATATTTTAGTTATAGTACCGTTGGGTTTTCAAAGAGTTCTTTTTTTTGTTTTCTTTTTTTTTTAAATGCATCTGTATTTTTTTTTTTAATTTTTTTTTTATTTATTTATACAAGCACTGGGTACAGTCAGAAGCGCGGGAGGGTGAGAGAATTCACCAGAGCCAGAGCGGGGAGCAGAGCAGGCAGAGTGACGAAGTACACTGCTGAGGGGAGCAGCGGGCGGCAGGAGAGGTCTGCGCGCCATGTGGGACCCTCCTCCGGTGGCCGGGGAGCAGCCGGGGATGGAACCGGTGCTGCAGAGGCTGCGGGCAGCTTCGCAACCCAGCGCTCAACCGCTGCGCCACCGGGGAGGCCCTTCAAAGAGTTCTTAATGGCGGGGAAGTCTAATATACAGATTAGTTGCATGGACTGTGCAGTCAGGCCACCTTGCTTTAGATACTGGGGCTCCACTAATTAAATCTGGGAAAAGGCCTCAGTTCCATTATCAAAAGAATATTTACCTCATAGAATTGGTGCGAAAAGTCAATGAACTGATACATGGGACACACTTAGAACGATGTTAGTTTTATTGCTATTGTTGTATTGGAATGTTCTTTATTGAAATAAAACCTTTCTCCTTTCCCCTAACTTGCACCTAGTTTTGCGAGCTGAGTATGCACCTTCCCCTTCCCCAGGCAGCCCTCATACACCGAGGTTGGGCCTCAAGTCTCCTGCCCACATGAGGCTTTGGCTTCATTAGTCCGTGTAAAGTTGGGCAGACAGGGTCTTGAAGGAGGGCCAATGTGAGGTCAAACCCTCAGAGATTTATCCTAGGACAGGTGCCTAACATGGGGCCCACGGGAAGGTGGCTGTTGCCCTGGATCACGGGGTACCCACAGGCAGCACCTCACGTGGGCTGAGCACTGTCTCACTGGCTGCGACCAGGGCCAGTGTGACTTGTTCCTGGCCTGGGAATGGGCCTCCCCACTGATGACCAATTGTAGAACCTTTCTAGGCTTGGGTTTAGAATCAAGTTTGTGAAATAAAACTTATCTCAATGCTGAGGGGCCAGTTTAGCTGGGGAGGAGGGAGTCACACGCCGTACTTTACAGGGGAGGAAACCGACCCTAGAGGGATAGTCGTTCACCCCAGGGGACACAGCCTGGGTGTGACCCCAGGCCGGCACTACAAAATCCTACATAGCCCCTTAGCTCCACTCCGAGCAAGCCCTGCGTGTCAGTCAGCCTTTTCTAACTGTTCGTCAGACAATTTTCTGGTTTGCAACCTGGCTCTGAACTTGTTGCAAAAATAGGTTTCTTTCACCTACCTCTGGTGCAGGATGGGGGTTTATGTTTCCATTTTATAGATGGAGGAACTGAAGCTTAGTGAGCCAAAGCATCTCGTTCATAGGTCGCAAAGTCAGCTATTGGTGGGGCCAGAATGCTTTGAATCATTGTTTGCCTTCTCCCCTCACCTGGTTGGGGTTGTGCTCTAAGCACATAGACCTTACTGAGGCTTCAGAGTGGGGCAAAGGGTGGGACTTGGGATTTTGCAGTGCTGGCCTGGGTTGGCACCCTGGCTCTGCATTGCCTGGCTGTGTCCCCTGGGATAAGTGACTCCATCCCTCTGAAGGTCAGTTTCCTCCCTTGTAAGGTGGGGTGTGTGACTCCTTCCTCCCAGGAATGTGTTGATCAGATAAAATCGCATCTGTGAGTATCCAGGAGCCTGTTTGAAAGGGTCACCTCTCCTGCCTTCCTGTCCACATGGCACCACCATTTCCATCCTGGCCAAAGACCAGTCTGGGGCAAGGAGCTGTGGGAGCCAGGCCAGTGAAAACCCCAGATTGTGACAACATATGATGCTGTGGGCATGGGCAGTAAAGCATGAGCCTCTCTGGGAGGGGATGGTGGGGGTGCCAGCTGGCCCCTTCCTGAATCCTGGCTACTTACTCTCTGTCCCTCTTTTCTCTCCTGCAGATTGTAATGTAGCAGACCCAGCCATGGCGGCCCCACAGCTGGGTCCTGGCCAAGCCACCCAATTGCCCCTCAATGAGAGCAGCGCACCAGGCCCCCCACATGGGCCCCCACCAGGCCTTCGGCCCGATGCCCCAGGGAGTGGGGGCGGAGGGGTCCCGGGAAAGCCTCCCTCGCAGTTCATGTATGTCTTCACCACCCACCTGGCCAACACGTAAGTGCCTCGGGTAGGCCAAGCCTAGTGCATCCACCCAGCACTCCTCAGCCTGGGGACCTAAGTGAGCGCCTGGGAGGGCAGGGGGCAAGCTTGGGTTGAATGAGGGTAGGGGCTCCCTGCTGCCCACCTGTCTGAACTCCTTGCATCCCCGCCTGTGCAGGGCCGCGGAGGCAGTGCTGCAGGGCCGGGCTGACTCCATCCTCGCCTACCACCAGCAGAATGTGCCCCGAGCCAAGCTTGACCAGGTGAGTGTGGCATGTGGCCTGGGCCTGTCGCCTCCATGACCAGCTCAACTGCCTGGTGCTTTTCCTTACCTGTCTCATGTGCTGCCTCTTCCTCTCACAGGCCCCCAAAGTGCCGCCCACCCCAGAACCGCTACCCCTGAGCACGCCATCAGCAGGCACCCCACAGTCCCAGCCGCCTCCACTGCCGCCACCTCCAGCCCCAGGCAGTGCCCCCCCTGCTCTGCCTTCTGAAGGGCCTCCTGAGGACACCAATCAGGATCTGACCCCCAACTCCGTGGGAGCTGCCAGTACAGGTGGTGGGACTGGGGGCACCCACCCCAACACTCCCACCGCCGCCACCGCCACCAACCCGCTGCCTCCTGGAGGAGACCCCAGCAGCGCCCCAGGCCCTGCCCTGCTGGGGGAGTCTGCTCCCACGGGAAATGGGCAGCGGAGCCTGGTGGGCTCTGAGGGCCTGTCCAAGGAGCAGCTGGAACATCGGGAACGTTCCCTCCAGACTCTGCGAGACATTGAGCGACTGTTGCTGCGCAGCGGGGAGACTGAGTCCTTCCTCAAGGGGCCCCCAGGAGGAGCAGGTGAAGGGGGACCACCAGCACAAGCCCCTCCTGCTCCCCAGCAGCCCCCCACAGCCCCACCTAGTGGGCTGAAGAAGTATGAGGAGCCCCTCCAGTCCATGATCTCACAGACACAGAGCCTTGGGGGTCCCCCACTGGAGCATGAAGTGCCTGGGCACCCCCCGGGTGGGGACATGGGACAGCAGATGAACATGATGATGCAGAGGCTGGGCCAGGACAGCCTGACGCCAGAGCAGGTGGCGTGGCGCAAGCTGCAGGAAGAATACTACGAGGAGAAGCGGCGAAAGGAGGAACAGATTGGGCTGCATGGGGGCCGCCCTCTGCAGGACATGATGAGCATGGGGGGCATGATGGTGAGGGGGCCGCCACCTCCCTACCACAGCAAGCCTGGGGATCAGTGGCCACCTGGAATGGGTGCCCAGCTGCGGGGGCCCATGGATGTCCAGGACCCCATGCAGCTACGGGGTGGACCTCCCTTCCCCGGCCCCCGCTTCCCAGGCAACCAGATGCAACGGGTACCTGGGTTTGGGGGCATGCAGGGTATGCCCATGGAGGTGCCCATGAATGCCATGCAGAGGCCTGTGAGGCCCGGCATGGGCTGGACTGAAGACTTGCCCCCCATGGGTGGGCCCAGCAATTTTGCCCAGAGCACGGTGCCCTATCCAGGTGGGCAGGGTGAAGCAGAACGATTCATGACCCCTCGGGTCCGCGAGGAGCTGCTGCGGCAACAGTTGCTGGAGAAGCGGCCGATGGGCATGCAGCGCCCCCTGGGCATGGCAGGCAGTGGCATGGGGCAGGGCATGGAGATGGAGCGGATGATACAGGCACACCGGCAGATGGATCCGGCTATGTTTCCTGGGCAGATGACTGGTGGTGAGGGCCTGGCAGGCACTCCCATGGGCATGGACTTTGGTGGAGGCCGGGGCCTCCTGAGTCCCCCCATGGGGCAGTCTGGGCTGAGGGAAGTGGACCCACCCATGGGGCCAGGCAACCTCAACATGAACATGAATGTGAATATGAACATGAATATGAACCTGAATGTGCAGATGACCCCGCAGCAGCAGATGTTAATGTCACAGAAGATGCGGGGCCCTGGGGATATGTTGGGCCCCCAGGGCCTCAGTCCTGAGGAGATGGCCCGGGTTCGGGCCCAGAACAACAGTGGCATGATGGGCGGCCCGCAGAAGATGCTTATGCCTTCGCAGTTTCCCAGCCAGGGCCAGCAGGGATTCTCTGGGAGCCAGGGACCCTACCAAGCCATGCCCCAGGACATGGGCAATACCCAAGACATGTTCAGCCCTGACCAGAGCTCAATGCCCATGGGCAATGTGGGCACCACCCGGCTTAGCCACATGCCTCTGCCCCCTGCATCCAATCCTCCTCCTGGGTCCGTGCATTCAGCCCCCAACCGGGGGGGCCTGGGCAGACGGCCTTCAGACCTCAGCATCAGTATTAATCAGATGGGCTCGCCGGGCATGGGGCACCTGAAGTCACCCACTCTTAGCCAGGTGCACTCACCCCTGGTCACCTCACCCTCTGCCAACCTCAAGTCACCCCAGACTCCCTCACAGATGGTGCCCTTGCCTTCAGCCAACCCATCAGGACCTCTCAAGTCTCCCCAGGTCCTCAGCTCCTCCCTCAGTGTTCGTTCCCCCACGGGCTCGCCCAGCAGGCTCAAGTCTCCCTCCATGGCGGTGCCTTCTCCAGGCTGGGTTGCATCACCCAAGACAGCCATGCCCAGCCCTGGGGTCCCCCAGAACAAGCAGCCGCCTCTCAGCATGAGCTCTTCCACTACCCTGGGCAACATAGAGCAGGGTGAGTCTCTGGACTGGGCAAGTGGCATTGGACCTTGGCATTGAGGGTCTCCAGGGGGGTGGGGAAGGGATATTCCGGCTAGGCCAAGGGAGTGGGTTAAGGCGTCTTTACTGGGGCCCGGTGAGGTGATGGTTCTGCTTGAGGGGCAGATGTTGGCAGCTGTGCCTGAATTTTCATAGGCACACCATGTTAATCTCCCAGGCATTTTGAGGGGGTCATCCTTGGATCTCCCTCCTGCCCTGGGGCCCTGAGGCTACAGGTATTCCTGAAGAGAGGTGGGCTATAGTGATAATGGGGGGCTTGTGATTAGTGGGATATCTGTATAGAGGTGTGCCTGGAGGAGTCAGGTGGGGACTTAGGTGCTGACCATTTCCTGCACCCACGGTGTGAGCAGCCAAATTCATCTTCCACTTCCCCAGTCAAGTCACTCCCTGCTCTTTCTGTCTCCCGGCTTCTGTAGGTGCCCTTCCGCCTAGCGGCCCCCGGAGCAGCTCCTCAGCACCTCCTGCCAACAATCCTGGTGGCCTCATGAACCCCAGCCTGCCCTTCACTTCCTCCCCAGACCCCACGCCTTCCCAGAACCCCCTATCACTGATGATGTCCCAGATGTCCAAGTACGCCATGCCCAGCTCCACCCCACTCTACCACAATGCCATCAAGACCATCGCCACCTCAGACGACGAGCTGCTGCCTGACCGACCTCTGCTGCCCCCGCCGCCACCACCACAAGGCTCCGGGCCAGGTGCGAGGACAGGAGGCTGGGCCACAGGGAGGGGAGCTGATGTGGGCACTGGGGCTGGGAAGAGCTGGCATGGCCAGCAGTCGCTCCTGGGACCATGCTGGCTGTGTGTGCTTCCCCAGGGTCCCTGCACATATCCTGGGGGACAGACTGTCCGAGTGGTCTTTCTATATTCGAGAGATTGGTCTGTGGCAAGCTGGACCAGAACTCTTGGCTCCTAAACTCAATGCCTCGAGTACCTTCCCTTGCAGCCAGGGAAGCCAGTGGAGTCTGGGAGGGGGGAGTGGGAAAGGGCATCATCCTGCACCCTTTCCCAGCTGGGAGCATTCTGGCCTGACCATCTTTTCCCCTCCCCCGCAGGAATCAGCAATAACCAGCCCAACCAGATGCACCTGAACTCAGCTGCTGCCCAGAGCCCCATGGGCATGAACCTGCCAGGCCAGCAGCCCCTTTCCCATGAACCCCCACCTACCATGTTGCCCTCCCCCACCCCTCTGGGCTCCAACATTCCACTGCACCCCAATGCACAGGGGACAGGAGGGCCCCCTCAAAACTCGATGATGATGGCTCCCGGGGGCCCAGACTCCCTGAATGCCCCCTGTGGCCCTGTGCCCAGCTCCTCCCAGATGATGCCCTTCCCCCCTAGGCTGCAGCAGCCCCATGGTGCCATGGCCCCCAGTGGGGGTGGGGCTGGGGGGCCTGGCCTGCAGCAGCACTACCCTTCAGGCATGCCCCTGCCCCCAGAGGACCTGCCCAGCCAACCTCCAGGCCCCATGCCCCCCCAGCAGCACCTGATGGGCAAAGGCATGGCTGGTCGCATGGGGGACGCGTACCCCCCAGGTGTGCTGCCTGGCGTGGCGTCAGTGCTGAACGACCCTGAGCTGAGCGAGGTGATCCGGCCCACCCCGACGGGGATCCCTGAGTTCGACTTGTCAAGGATCATCCCCTCTGAGAAGCCAAGCAGCACCCTCCAGTACTTTCCCAAGAGCGAGAACCAGCCCCCCAAGGCCCAGCCCCCCAATCTGCATCTCATGAACCTGCAGAACATGATGGCGGAGCAGACCCCCTCGCGGCCCCCCAACCTCCCGGGCCAGCAGGGTGTCCAACGGGGGCTCAACATGTCCATGTGCCACCCCGGACAGATGTCCTTGCTGGGCAGGACAGGTGTGCCCCCACAACAGGGCATGGTGCCCCACGGTCTGCACCAGGGGGTCATGTCCCCGCCACAAGGCCTCATGACCCAGCAGAATTTCATGCTGATGAAGCAGCGGAGCGTGGGGGCTGAGGTCTACAGCCAGCCCCCCCACATGCTCTCCCCCCAGGGCTCCCTCATGGGCCCCCCGCCCCAGCAGAACCTCATGGTGTCCCACCCCCTGCGGCAGCGCAGCGTGTCTCTGGACAGCCAGATGGGCTACCTTCCGGCGCCGGGCAGCATGGCCAACCTGCCCTTCTAGCAGTCCCTGCTGGGGGCTGGAGCTGGGGCGATATTGCGAATACGATAACCTTAAAAAGTTTTTTCCCTCCAGTGTTGGGATGGCCTGGGTCGAGGGGTGGGGCGGAGGGGGTGGGAGGGGGCTTGTGTGGGGCGTGGCGTTTGTGGAAACCAGATATGCTGGCAGCTTAGGGAGAAGTGGCAGAGTGGGGTGGGGGGTTGGGGTTGGGGTTTGTTCCATTTCAGCCACCAGGACTGCCCCTCCCCCACTCCTTCCAAATCCTATGGAGCCTCCATTTTCCCTCTTTCTCTGCACCCACCTGGCTCTGCTCCGCTCTGCAGTCCTTGGGGGAGAGAGGAAGGCGAGGAGAGGGTGCTCCTCTGTCCCTTTCCCTCCCGCCACTTTCTCCTAGCTGCTCATCACCCTGGCTTCACATTCCTCTTGGTTCCTCTGCTCCCACTCACTTTCCCTTCTGTCTTTTCCAGCCTCTTTTCCCCTCCCTGATGATGTGGCTGAACCCCTCTCCCACCCCTCCCTGCAGGCGGCTGGCCAGGTGGGCAGGTGCCAGCCACAGCTGTAAATAGAGCGCTGCGCTTCTGTGCCGGTTTGTGCGTGTGCTGTATTTCTGTGTTTTGATAGAAATCACACAAAAAAAAAAAAGGATAAAAGAAACCCTTCCCCCCTTCTTCAAAATGATTGCCCTTCCATTCCTCTGGACCCAGGACACGCAGGCCAACACACCTACCCACTGTTTGCAGTGCCTCTGGGTCTCCCTAAAGGATACCATTCCGGTCCCCTTCTCAAGTGGTGAAACGACATAGATACTCCACACCTGAGGCCAGACCGCCTGGGCTTCCACCTGGAGAGCCCCAGCAGGGCCGAGGCCTGGGCAGTAGCCTGTCTGCTGTGGAGAGCATGGGCGTGTGCATGTCTGTGCGCACCGCGGATGACATGGGCCCTGACTTCCCGGCTGTGGATGTCTGGCGTCCCCCTGCTGCTATGTGTTAGCCAGAACTTGAAGTCCTTGGTCCCCAGTCTGAGAGGAAGGAAAGGAAGAAGGGGCGGAGGCTATGTGGCCCCCTGGAGTGGAGCCTGGAGGAGTGGCGGGGTCCTGCAGTAGCCCTGGGCCAGTCACCCCCTACTCTTTCAGAGGCTGCCACCTCCTTGTCACCACAGTAGGAAGGAAAAGGTTTGGCCAAGTTTGTCTCCTTCCAGCCTCCACTCCTGAGGAGGAATTAGAGAAGGTGTAGGAGGGGGATGGGGGGTCTTTCTTCCCCCTTCTCTCTGCCTGCCTGGTCACCCAAATCCCTCTGCCTAGGGCTCAGGGCTCTGTGCCCACCCAGGCACAGCCACTGCCTCCCTCTCAAATCCCTGCTCTGCCCCAGAAGAGCCCCCCACCCGCCTCTGGTCAGAACCGAAGCCATACACGACTGGGTGTTTTGCCTTCCTTGGCCCCAGGAGTAAAACACTTCTTTTCTCATTTCCTCTCCTGCCTGGTAGGGAGGTGGGGCAGTTCCTTGGCTGATGCTTTCTGTGCCCCGCCTCCAGGGCCAAGGGCCAAGGTGTGTCTTCTGCTGTGGCCCTGTCCCCAGCCTTCCTGACCCACAGGGTCTGGTCTCGCATTGGCAGCTGTGATACAAAGGGAATCTGCCCCCACTTCTCTCAGTCTGGTGCTGTCCTCAGTCCACCATCAGCCAGGTTGAGCGCTTCCTCTGGGGCTGGCCACGGGCTCCTGCCTCCCCCAGCACCCCCAGGGGCCAGGATCTGGCCTCCATCCTGCCAGGCACTTTGCCCACCCAGCCTCAACCTGCACCCCGTGCCCATGAGTCCCCCACCCTTGGCCCACAACTCCCCAAACTGACTCTTTAAGTGTTTCCTGCCCAGAGGAGAGGGGTCAGACAGTAAGGGGCCCAGTCTCCTCCCACCTCCGCCACAGTCTAGCTTTCCAAGGTAAACTCCACAGGCCAGCCGACTTCTTCCCTCCATCCATGGCCATACCCCCAGCCATTTTGTACCATTATATAAATATATATATAAATATAAATATATAAATACAATATGTGAAGACATCTTCTTGGTTTTTATTTTGAAACAATTTTTAGGCTTGTTCCGGGGGTCTCTGTGCTGCCTGTACTGTATTGACCTGTTTTATAGGTGCCTTTTTATTAAAAAGAGAAAATTAAAAATCCAACTTCTTGTCTTTTTTTTTGCTTGTTTCTGCCTCCACAGCTCTTCTTGTCAGAGAGGAGAGAGGGAGCGCCCAGGTCTTTCCCAGTGTTCCTGGTGGAGGCTCAGTATTCTGGTTCACAGTTCTGATCCCCCTCCTGGTGTGGGGGCCTGCTAGGGAGCTTTGCTGATTAGGTTGAAGGATTGTGAGCAGCCCTGGGGCTCTCAGTGAGTGCAGGGAGCCTTCTGTCAACCCAGCCACTACAGAGGCTGGGGAGGAGGAGGAAGAACAGCCCTCTTTGGGCAGGTGGATGAGTGAGCGTGGAGCAGCTTCCTTTGGTTCTGAGTAAAAGCCCCTCAGGGGCAGGGCCGGCTTCCTGGGCCTGGGGACTTCCCTGTCCAGGGAAGCCCACCCTAAGGGGATGCTTGTGGCTCTTGCGTAGGCCCAGAAAGCAGGTGCTCTGTGCATGACCTGCGGGCAGAGGGTTGAAGGAGATGACCCCCAGATCCCCTTTGGTCTGTCTCCTTAGGGGGGTCAACGTCTGCCTTCTGGCCCTTAGCTAAGTGCTCTTGCTGCTGTGGCTGGGGCCCCTCTGTGGCTCAGGGAGTTTCCCCGGGCTGTGTGGCCTGCGGGGTAGGGGTGGGGCCAGGAGGAAGGAGTTGGTCTCTTTCCTCATCAGTACCCAGACCCATCAGGGCCCTGGACCCTGCCGCCCCTGGCCCACCCAGGAGACCTCCAGCCTGGACAGAGAAGGCACTGGCTGCTGCATGTCCATTCTTGGGGCTGGGGGAAGAAAATGTCTCTTTCCCTGTGGACTTGGCTTACTTCATCTCCAGGACACTGACAGCTCTGTGAGCATGTCTGGAGTCTGCTCTTCTCTCGACCAGTGTGACAAAGGGATGGCCTGACATCATTTTGGTCTGAGCCATGGGCAACTGCTTGGACTGGGCTAGTTTGGGCTTCCTGCTTGGTCAAGGTGGTGGCTTGGCAGAATGCCCGTGTTTGTTAGCGAATGAGATGTTCAGGCCACCCTCTGGTGCCAATTGGCCTTTCCTCAAACCTAACTTCCATCCATGCCCTGGGACTGGGCTCAGCTTTTGGTTTCTTTTGGTGGGTGGGGTAGGAGAAGTGACAGCTGTGCAGTCATTGGTCCATAAGATGATAGATTATGTTCCAGAAGGAGATTGGCTTGCCCTATTAGCAAGGGCAAAAGTAAAAGTCGTTTCTTGAGCTGCAGATGATTAACATGAAAGAAGATGTGTGGCGTCCTCTCAGCCCAGATGGGCACGGGTGTCCTTTGCTATGCCTTTGGGCTGTTTCCCCAGGATTCCGGCCTAGCCCCAGGGCTGGCAGAAGAGCTGGCAGGGATGTCCTGGAAAGAGGGTTGATTCATCTGGCCACCTCAGATGAGGGCATTGGCCACGGTGAGCTCCCAGCTCCTGGTGGAAGGGGTTCCAGCATCACTGCACCCCTCCCCCCATGGAAAACAGGAACAAAGGGGCAGCTGGGACCTAGAAGGTGGTGAGGGAGGTGGCATTCTCTGATTCAGAGAGACTGCTGTTGCGCCAACTAGGGAAGAGCTGGCAAAGGGAGGCGGGGCCGGCACAGCCCAGCTTGGTCAGAAGCCTTGACAGGTCACTACGGAACTTCACGCCGGCAAACGTGTAGAGCATGGGATTGAGGCAGCAGTGGGCGAGGCCCAGGAACTCACTCATGGTGATGGCCACAGCGAGATAGCTATTCAGTTCACAGCCATTGCCCAAGACATTCAACCTTGAGAGGGTGTCCAGGAAGATGACAATGTGGTAGGGCGACCAGCAGAGAAAGAAGATGCTTGTCACCAGGATGGCCACCCTGACTGCCTTCTGCCGCTGAGGGCGCCGCTGGGCCTGGCGCAGCCTGTTCACCACCCCAACATAGCACCAGCTCATCACCAGCAATGGCAACAGGAATCCCCCGACATGGTAGAAGAAGCGGGAGATGAACCAGGCGTTGGTTTCAGCTTCGTTCTCCTGGGGGAAGGTGCAGCGTAGCAGGGAGTCATTGTGATGGGGTTCACTGACCTTGGCAAAGAGGATCTCTGGCAAGGCAAAGAAGAAACCCGCCAGCCAGATGGTGGCGCAGGTGATGTGGATGGGGAGGCGGCGGCGGTGGCGGTAGGCGTGGACAGCATGGACGATGGCCAGGTAGCGGTCCACAGCGATGCAGGCCAGGAGCAGGCTGCTGCAGTAGAAGTTGATCTTGTGCAGAGCGATCACAGTTTTGCAGAGGAAGGTGCCCAGGACCCAACCCATGAAGCCTTCGGCCACAGCAAAGGGCAGGATGACAACTAGAAGGAGGTCTGCCACTGCCAGGTGGAAGAGGAAGGTCTCGGTGGAGCTGCGCGTATGCCGGTGCCGCTCCAGGATCACCAGTACCAGGATGTTGCCCATCATACCCAGGAGGAAGATGAGGCCGTACGCCAAGGGCATGAACACGGCCTTGAAGGAGGTCAGGAGGGGCCCCTCAACCGTCGGGCAGACACTGCTTTCCAAGGTGGTGTCTATGCTGTCGTTGTAGTTGGCCATTTCCTTGTACTGCAAGGGCAAGGAGACAGGAGGTGGGGAGACTGAGGACCCATCCTCTGGGAGAGGGCCCCCGACTCCCTTGGGGATTTTTCCTATCTCCCCAGGCTCACTGCTTTTGTCCCTGAGCTCCCAACACATCCCACCCACCAGACCCCAATTCCCCTTTGGGTGTCCTTGAACAAATCACTTTGCCTTTTCCAGGTTGAGTTTTCGTCTGTCAAAGGGACTAATTCCTCCCAGAGCAGTGACGAAGACGAAAGGAGATGTATGGTGTGGCTATGCTTCATAAACTCTGAAGTGCTGTGCACCTGTAAGTTATTTTGTGCTGATATAGCCTCAGGAATGGAAGGACTCAGGGCCCTGGGGCTGGAATGGATCCTTCTGGTTTGGGAATGGAGGTGATTGGGCCGAGGCGCCATCTGTTCCAATGCTGAACAGAGCTGTGGGCCCTGAAACCTAGGATCTTGCTGGGGGCTGGTGCTCAGGTGGCTCGCTGGCTTCCTCTCGACTTGCCCTCTATTCCTGACTGTCTTCATTGTATCTGACATTGTAGTAAGAGCCTTCCATTCCATTAATCTGCACAGCAGGCTCAAGGTACGTAGTATACTAATTTTATCGACCTGCCTTGCTAAGGATCAGTTCTGTTGGAACCCACGGTTGATCTAACAGAGCCAATACTTCCTCCCCATGCGCAGACCTACCGGCATCCCTCCCAGCTGCTTCCCAGGGGCGGCAAACTCCCCGCTCTGTGCCCTTCCTTGGCTCCAGCACGGAGAGCAAAGGAGAGCACTGTAAGCAGAGAGAGGGGCCGAGGAGAGAAGCAGAAGGAAGTGAGAAGGACACGGAGGCCAGGCATGGGACGGGTGGGGGGGCTCGGGGGGGTGGTAAGTCCAGGCACAGGACTGGGGGGCCTTCCCCACGTGAAGGGCTGTGCCCACCATGTCTCCGGAAGCGCCCTCCTCCTGAGCCTCCCCCCTGCCCCCCGCAGCGCTCAGGTTGTTTACCCAGCTAACCGCAAAGGAAGACACGGGTGCTTGTTTTCATACCTTTCACTCGCAGCTGTCCCCCTGCACCTGCTCCTCCTTACCAGCCAGCTCTGTGCTTCCCACCCTCCCCTCACCAGACCCTTCCACTCAGCATTTCAAAACTACTATAATCGATTTACGATTTACGTAGGTTCAGAAAGACACGTCTGTAAAAGATGAGCCCAGGGAGGGAGAGGGCGGTCTCTGCATCCAGGCCCTGGGTGGTCTCATGCTGCTCTCCTGCCAGGGGAGCCCGGGAATTGCCACGGGCCCTTCTTGCCTCCCAGGGGCCACTGGCAATGGTGGGCAGACCCCTTTCCCAACTGGGTTCTTTCCTTCTGGTCCCCAGGGTGGGTGGTGCTGGGGGTGGGGTGGGGTGGGGAGGCACATTAGTGCAATGGCAGAGCCACCTGCCCCGCCCTCCCCATGCCCAGCATTCCCTGGCCATTGCCTCGGTGCCAGGCATCCTCACCCGAATGTCCAGGGCTACTGTCCCTCCTTGCATCCCAGCCCCTTCAGCGTCACCACTCCGTCCATCTCCTTCAGAGAGGACAGGATGAGCTGGCCAGCCTGCACGTCCCATCCCGTCAGTGGACCTATAAGCGGTGCTTTTTTCTCTTTGTCTTTATCTTTTTTTCTTTTTGCTTTCACGTTGAATAGCAAAGCCAGTTATAAGCAAAAGTGGTGTTTGCAGAAAAAGCTCTTCCATCGGAGCAGAGTAAGCCGAGCTCGGTGCATCACACACAGAACACAAGGCAGGGCTCACAGAGAAACCTCAAAGAGGTTCAGCTGCAGGTTCTCGCGGGGAAAGATGTGTCTCACATGCCGTGAGGTCGCAGGGCGCACTGCACAGCCTCCCTGAGGCTCGAGTCTGTGGGTTTTCTTCCCAGGCTTTCCCTGGGGCCTGGGTGGGGGGCGGGGGAGCAGGCTCCAGGGTCCCCTCCTTGCCTTTAAACCAGAGCCCTCCACTTCTGTCTCATGTGGTGTTTCACACATAGCCTTTGTTTAAGGGAATAGTTTTACTTTCATTTGAAAGCTGTGGGCTTGCATGGTGAGGCATGAACTCCTGAGGAGGGTCTTAAACCAGAGCCCTCCACTTCTGTCTCATGTGGTGTTTCACACATAGCCTTTGTTTAAGGGAATAGTTTTACTTTCATTTGAAAGCTGTGGGCTTGCATGGTGAGGCATGAACTCCTGAGGAGGGTCTTTAAATTTCGACAAAATGTTTGTTCTCAGACCTTTCAAAGTTCCTTTTCTCCCTCTTGGCTCCAGGCATCCTGTCCTACAGGTTCACATTCCTGCCCCCTACAGGATGCCCCAATCTCCCTTCGCCCAAGCTCCCTCTCTCCCCTCTCGTTCCTACCCTTCCCTGGGGCTCCACTCAGCCCTCCCTCCTGCGTCCTGTGGAGCTCTTTCGACTTGGAATTACGTCCTCTCTTCTGTCTTTGCACCCCCACACCTCTCCACCCAGCAACAGAGCGCCTCTGTTGCAGCACCCAGGACTGGGATGACCATTTCCCCGCTCAGTGGCCGGCTCCTGGAGGCCGCCTCACGCTGCCATGTATTTCACGCACGATGGACACGCAGCCGCTGTGCGCGGAGCTGCTCCGAGAGCGCTTGGCTGCAGAAGGCCAGGGCACTTGAATTCTGGACTTCAAGCAAGTCCCTCTCTGTGCCTCAGAGATGCCGTCTTTCCTTCTAAACTTTGCAAGTTCCTGCTTCCGCCCACTGCCCTGGGACAGCTCGAGCCTCTCTTTGCTTCCCTGTCCATGTTGGGAACTATTTGAGTCTCGTCATCGAATGCATCCATTTGACTCCCTGGGATTCAGCAGGAGTTAAAGGGCGAAAGCAATGAGATGAGCTGTCTTCATGCAGAGCAAAGCGATTCAGAGAGGAGAGAGGCAGGGCTAGAGGCAAGCAAAGGGGCAGCCAGTTGGACTGGACCCCTCCTTTCTTGGCAGCGGTGGCCTCCGGCTGTCCTACTGCCCAGCAGAGGGCAGAGGTGGAGCCAGCCTGTCTGGCCCAAAAGCCCTTTGTGAGACTCATCAAGTCCTTACCCTCTAAAACTTTCAAGTTGATTGATGTATTGCTCATTTAAAGCCAGTGTGGTGGGAAGTGTCCCCGGGACTCCAGAGCCCCCATCTCTTGAGAACCCAGGTTTTACAGGAGGGTTGTGAGTGGCAGCACTGGCGCTTACTCCAGAGGCATTGTTTGGCAAAGAGCTCAGGCAGGGGGGGAGATGGGAGATAGCCTGCGTGAAGAGTGCTGGGAGTTGCCTGTACCTCTCAGTAGAGGTGTCAAACAGATGTTTTTGGGGTTCGGGAGTGGCACATGTTAAAGCCACTTCCCACACCCAAGGTCATCAGTCCCTCCACCTTCCCCAAACTATGGAGAGAGGTAATAAAGCAGGGTTCACTCTAGCTTGATGAGAAGTGAAGACTCAGGAATATGGAACAACAAGGGAGTCCTCCCAGAGGGAGCATAGTGGAGCAACCTGGAGGGTGGTCCACTCATCTTTGACATAACCAGCTGCAGGAACCCACACACATATTCTGAGAGCACCAGGCACCCTGCAAAGATAGGGAGGGGCCTTGACAACATGAGGCACAGGTGGCCTCCACCAAGGCCAGGGACTCATGTCCCAAAGAAGCGAAGTAAACACAGTGACCCAGATGAAGCTGAGCATCGATCCAGGAATACAGGTAGAAAGTGTCTGTGAGCACCGAGGAGGGGGCAAGAGCAGGATCTAGAATACTCCTTGTCCGGGTATTGAGGGACCAGGAGAGGGGAGGATGGGGCAGAGAGAGCTGAGTGTTGGGCCTGGGGTGGGCTCACCAGTGTTGCTCTCCTTCCCTCTCTTCCTCCCTCTGGCCCTCTCTTCTTTCTGTCCTCTGGAACCTCTGTAAGACCCAGGCCCTCTCTGGATAATTACAAAGCCCTGTCTGACTTTGCCAAATACCCAAGCTGCTCCACTTTCCGGCGCTGCCAACATGAAACTTAGCAAACTGAGATTCTAGGCCAGCAGTTGGGGGCAGGGGAGGCATGGAGAGCTCACCTCTGGGATCCCTGATCCGAGACCCTCTTACACTCTCAGCCCTGTCTTGGGCAACGTGGCTGGAGGGCGCTTTCAGACAATGCGGGTGCCCTCTCAGCCTGAAACTATGAGCCCAAGCTGACCAAATGGAATTGCATGGGCAAAAATAGAGAGCCCTCCACCGGGGTTTAAAATGTCAACAAGACACATTAGGTACAGTTTATGAGAAAAAGACTAGAGAGTGTGTTAACTCCAAGCTGACAGTGAGTCACCAGGGCGATGTGGTTGCCAGAGGGCCACTGTCACCTCACTTTAGGTGAACAGAGAAACATGGAGGTGGGCAACTGGCACCAAGCCAGCTTGTTTGGTCTGGGCAAGTGTGACCAGTTAGCAGAGGGGTCTGGAAATCCCCGCCTTCGGAGGAAGTTTTCAGGTACAAGCAGGGCAGAGTCTTGGGGAGAGAAGGCTTGGATCCAAATAGGGGCGTCTTCTTCAAGGACTGGAAAGAACTCCCACGGGCACGGGGGCAGGATGTGCTTGTGCATGAGCTTCTGGAGGACAGACCACAGACAAAGGTTGGGGTAGGGATGTTTCCATCAAAGGAGACAGAACCTTCCAATAGGCAGAACTGCCAACAAAGGATCAGTCCTTGAGAGGAAGAATGTTTGAACCTAAGAGTATGGGATGGAATTCCTGTCCTGCCCTCAAATAGTTCTTGCTCTCAGCTCCCAGCTTCTCAGATTAGCTCAGGGTTGTACCTGCCCAGGCCTGAGCTGCTTCTTAGCATGATCTCCATCTTCTCAGCACTAGGGTGGGAACCGTCAGCTTCTCCTGCCTGTCTGTCCTGAGGGGACACCCGAGGCTGACCTTGCTTCTCAGCCCCAAGGGGGTGCAGGGCAGCTAAGCGCATTCACCCAGGCCAAACCCCAGGACTCCAGGGTCTGAGTCATACTGGCTGCAGGAGGTGTCTGCACACAGATGTGGGTCATTGCTCTGGCCAGAGGGACACATGCGAGCTCCATCTCCTTTTATGTTTGGTTTGGATACTCCCAGCCAAGAGTCGAGAGCTGTGAGTGGGGCCAGCCAGGGTGTCTTTCATTCCAGCCTTCAGTGGCTTGAGGGCAGTAGGCTGGGTTGGGCTGGGAAGGGTTTGGAAGGTTGAGACAGGTAGGGGTAAGTGCCCATACTCTCTAAAAACTATCTGAGACTCTTGTTTGTCATTTGCCACATCTCCCCTGCTTGCCTGCCCCACCCCCCTTCAGGAGCCAGCCTGCCAGGTTCCTCTCCCATCTCTCCCCAAGAGTTTTGGCCATTAAGAGCATGGTATTGTGAAGGATATGGTTCTGGAGGAAACTTTAAACTACTCCTGCCTCTGTACTGAGTCTTAAGGTCCTCCTAGAACCCCAAGTCAATTTGCATTTTGGGGACAGAGTCACACAATCAAGGGACAGATAAGCACCTCTCCTAGGTATACCCAGCAACCTGGTGAACCGTCCCCTGGGTCAGTACTGCTTTGAAATATTTTGTCCCATGGTTCCTGAAGGAAAGCCCATCCTTGTATCCTGATTCTCAGTGCCAAGGTCATGGGTTTTCATGCTCTTCTGCCTGAGGAGCAGGGTCAGAAATGGTTTGTGTCCTCAAGGAGGGCTGGGTTCCTTTTGGGGACTCTGTGGTCTGTGTCCTCGAGTTCAGTTTCATCCCTGTACTGACCCTTCCTCAGGCTGGCCCTGGCACCCTCTCTCATGTCTGAACTCTCCAATCACAACCAAATCAGGGCCTCTTCCACCGGGTTTCCTCTGGGACTTTTGCCCTGGTTAAGGGGTGATCCTCCCCTCCCCGAGGTAAAGCCCAGAAACAGCCTGAGCTGGTTTTGGTTCCTCTTCTTTCCCCCCTCCTGATGAATCTAGATGGTACATGTGACAGAGCTCTACAGCCCGCGGTGCCCACCACACTGAAGTGGTGGTTGTGGGGGTCGTTACTGAGGGTCACGGGCAGCCAGGTCCTGGGGTTGGAGCAGCTTCCTCTCCTGGCTGCTGTGCAGGGTGGGGCTGGAGGTGTGGTTTGTGACCCACCCTGTAGGTACTCTGGCCCTGGCCCTGACCCTGTTAAGAGGAGGCCCCACACTGGCAGACCAAGGTCCCTGTGGACAGAGCCGTTTCTGGGTCTACCTAGATCTGAACACCGCCGGGACCTGCTCTTTGTCTGTGGTACTTAGTCATCTAGATGTTTCTGGTTTAGATCCCCAAATCATGGGAATGAGCAACCCACCTTAAGAAAATGGATATTTTAAGCAACTAGACTTGAACTTAGAGCTCAAGAGGAGCCTGGGACTACAGCATGATCACGCCTTTGCTGATGGACAAAGACCCCCAGTTCTTAACTCCAATATCAGAATGTAGAACCCAGTATTCTAGGAAAGTAGATCAATATTTAGTTTGGACAAGGACAGGAAATGGAATTGGAAGCAAAAGGAATAGAAGCTAGACTAACTCCAGAGAGGACAGGTGAGCTCAGAGCTTCAGTGCATCGCAAGTCAAGATATATTTATTGAGAAGCCACTACATGCAAGGCTCTCCTGCCACTCTGCCATGCCAGGGCCTCTGTGCTATGAGACACTGACAGGACGTTAAAACTGCTCAAGGTCCAGCTGTGAGTGGGTGGGGTAAGGAGGAAGAGGGTCTGTGCTCCAGAGGTGGTAACAGCCCTGGAGAAGACGTGTAGGAGGTAAGTGGCTGTGGGGCAGGGGGCTGGAGCTGGCCAGCCAGTGCTAGAGGATTCCTGATTAAGGGGGTTCAGCCATTCTGGGGTCCCTGGCTCATGAACACTCATCTGAGGTACGACATGAAGCAAGTTTTCAGGTCTCTCCCTGAGCAATAGATTTTCTTTGATATGTGAGATTCTCTCTGCTGCCCCACCATCCCGGCCACCACCTGTGTCTAGTAGGTCATGAAGTGGAGTGAGGCGTGCAGTTAGGGGAAACTCTTGAGGTTTCTCAGAAGCCAAGACCAGCCAGTTCTTGAGTTGCTTACTATGATGTCCAACTGGGTCAGGGGCTCATGGTCAGCTTGAAACCGTGGGCAGAGGAAGACACCCAGTAACCTAATTAGGAGAGAGCGGGGGGCCAGGGCTGGAGCAACTTGCCTCAAGAGGGAACGAAGGTTTAGTCCAATTTTGGGAACTGCTCAGCTCCGATTAGGCTCAGGGTCAGCTTCATGGTCATTGACCTGTGTAGTCACTCAGGGCCCTGTCCTTAGATGAACCCTGTGTTTAGTCTGTATGACTGTCCTGAAATTCTTACTCATTTTTAAACTAGGGGCCCTGTATTTTCATTTTACATTGGGTTCCAAATTATGCAGCAGGTCTGACTAGACAGATGGTTCTGGCTGCTTCTACCCGGAGATAATGTCTGAGAGGCCAGGCTTTGGGTAAGTAATCCTCTCCCTCACCTTCTCCCATGTTCCAGGTACACTCCCAAGTTGTGGGATCTGGGCACACGAGAGGAAATATTTCAGAGTTCTCTGGAAACACAGTTGGTGGAGTTACAGTGTAGACTCCAGTCAGGGGAGTTAGAGTGATTTGGAGAAGCGCTCAAGGTGCCAGGAGAGCTAGTGGCGATAGGAAAAGGAGTTTGGATCCTTCATGAACCAGTCCAGAATGCAGCCCAGAGAGAAGTCCCTTCTTCAGATGTGCCATTGACCACGGGGGGAAAAGGAGAAAAGACCACAAAGAAGTTTCCAAGAGGCCCTTATATGCAGTTTTCTGTGGCCCCACACAGAAGTGGAGGTCTCTCATGGAGCAGCGCCACACACAGCCTTTGGGACTCCAGTGACAACTAAGTTACCTGAGCCACCCTGCTTCACTGGACAGACTTGGGTGGGTGGCAGAGAGTCATGCTGGGGACCCTTCCCTTAGCCCACCCAAGGATATCTGATCCAGTGAGCCCAGTCCTTTGAGGGGGGCCCCCAAGAAGCTCTAAGACATTTCTAGGATTTGCAAAGCGTTCTCTCACCAACTTGGTGCCCCTGGCCCCTGACTCCAGCCCACTCGGGTCCTCTCCCTTGTGGACCATCTGGTCTCCAACTGCCTCAGGTCAGCACAGAACCCTTGTCTAAGAACTTTCAATGAGTGATGTTTTTCTCTTTGGCTAGACCTTGAGTTACTAATGGTCGGGACCAGGTCCCCAACTTCTCAGCCCACACAGAATTTATGTTGTGCCTCAAATATGTATCAGTTGACTAGCAACTCCAGCTAGTCCCGAATGCTTTTCCCCCAGGCCCTCATTCCAGCCCTAAGACGTAAAGAGAGATTCCCCTATTGAAGAATGGAGAGGCAAAGTGACTTGTTCCAGGTCACGTAGCAAGTCAGGGAGATGCAAGACGTGAGCCCATTCTTCTCTCCCCTCCTCCCCAAGGCTGTCTCTCACAGGCATTCCGCCATGGAATGGGAAGTTAGATCTTAAAAGGCAGGTGCCGATGGACCTGTCTAGATTCTGCCAGTCCCCAGCGAGAGGGGACTCCATACTGTCTCCCCTCTCCTTTGGAGCCTGGACCCCAGCACAGGCCATTTAGAATTCCAAGTAGGGCCCCACTGACCAGCCACTCACCAGGTCATCCACATTGTAGTTCAAGAAGTCCATTTCCTGGGTGTGGAGATAGCTCATAGTTGTCCCCGTACGTCACCAGACTGGTCACTGTGATGCTGACAGGCTCGCCAGCGGGTGCAGATCGAGGTGGCAGCCGTCAGCTGCAAATTTAAACAAATGATCTGAGCGCTATCTCCTGGGCTGTGGGTCCTTTACCACTCATCGCTTTTTTTTTTTCCACTGGGTCTTTTCTGTTTTTTTTTTTTTTTTTTTTTTTTTTTTTTTTTAAGAAAAAGGGAAAATCCCCATAGCATAAGTGCTAGTCAAGCAGTTCATCTTCTTTCCTGGCAATGATTGCTTCAGAGCACTTGTGATGGGCTTAAAAGGCTGCCCCTTTCTCTCACTGGCATTCCAATAAGGGACTCCCATTTTGTCATGAAAACCATTGCACCTTCTGAGGAGTAAAGAGGGAAACTCCACAGAAAAGGAAACAGGAGGGCCCTGGCAGGATCTCTCCGCCAAGCCTCCTCCAAGCCTTCTTTCTCTCCACTAGGGTGACCAACCATCCAGTTTGCCCAGCACCGAAAGTCCCTGGTCCTGGGAACCCCCTCAGTCCCAGGCCAACTGGGACACTCGATCACCCTGCTTGGCACTATCCTGGTGGCCAGGGCTGGGCAAAACCCCTTCTCTTTCTAGATCAAGTTCAGAAGAGATAGGCTAGAAATGTTCAAAGGGGGAAAAACATTACGGGATGACAGAAATGAAATTACCCAAATCACCAAGCACTAAAACTTAAAGTCTCAGTCATTTTCTCGCATGAAATAGCGATGTTTGAGCTACAAATGAGGTTGGTGGGCAATTGAATGAGTGACATCCTCAGCTCCCCAGCGAGAGGAGATTTCTCCCCTAGGCCCAGAGAGGGAAAGTGAAGTCTCCAGGACCTGCAGCTTAAGCCCATGTCCTGACTCCATATCCAGTGTTTTCTCTACCACATCAGGTGCCCCGCCCTTCCCTTCAACTCTGCCCCATCTGAGGATTCCTTCCTTGAAGAAGCCCTTTCCTTTAAGGTTGATGTTGATTCATTTCTCTTCGTTGTCTCAAGTTTGTGCATTTTCTTCCAGGCAGGGGCACTTCCTCTCTTGGCTCACAAGGATATCAAAGCAATGGTCACTTACACGGAAGCTTCTCGTGTGACCAACTCTTTGTCCCACTTCAACCCTTATCCAAATGACCAATTGCTGAGATTCTACCCATTCTCCTGCCAGATCCTTTGCCCTTTCTGCCCTATGCACCTTTTCCTTGTCTCTCCTATACCTTGCTTACACCCCACTTCACCCTCAACAGATACATATCTCAACAACTGGAGGAGTGTTCTGTGGTTTTGTGCTGTTAGGGTCTTTCTTCCTGCTCTTTGTTCACTGCCTTCGGTAACTGCTTTCAAGGAGGAAGAATCCCAGGACAAGAGGTTGGAATTTCTTCCCAAGCTTGCTGTGTGCTCCCCATTTTCAAGCCCCCCCCCCATACCTCTCTCCCTTCTATCTGTTGATATATTCCATTTAGCTTTTGTTACTCTAAAGACATCCGTCAGGAAACAACAAACAGGAACTGGAAGGGAACTTGAAAGGCAAACCAGTCCATCCTCATTCCCCTCCTCTGCCCACAGCAAATGCAAGATCCCTGTCACTGTGTCCTTATCAGATGGCAACACAGTGTCGTGCCTACCTCACCAACAGTGAGAAACTTATTCTTGTCGAGACATCATGATATAATGGAGGACAATTTAATCATTAGAAACTTCATCCTGAATCCAAATATGTATCCCTATAACTCATCCCCAGAGACCCTGGCTCTGCCTTCTGCTAGGCTGTTTAATTGCTGTTCTAATAAGCACCCTCTGTAGACAGTTGCCACATCCCCACAGGTCTTCTCCAAAACACATAATGCCAGGTCTTCAACCATTCTTCAGAGCACATTTTTTCTGGGTCCCCTTTCAACCTGTTCTTTGACCTCTGGGTGATTTCTGGTTAAAGATCCAGGTGCTGTCTGACTAGAATAAATATAGGAAGATAAGAGTTTCCTTGTTCAAGAAACTTAGACAATAACAACAAAAATGGTCATTCCTGTGGGTTCTCACACCCCTTGACAGCATGCTTAACAGATTCATTTTGATAGCTCTTGTCCATCATTTCATGTCATAAAGGGAAATTTTTGAAATACTGATCCAATCACGAGGTGATGTGATGACAATTCAGGTCAGCCTGGTATCCTTCAGTCTATCCAAGTCCTGGTGGAAAATGTTGACAGGACAACACCAATCACAGACCCCTGCTTCATGACCTAGTCTCAAAAGGTAGGGAAGACTTCATGGAAAGAAGTACGGCATGAACTGGACACTGACATTTTGGATAGAATGAGGACTGCCGTGCCTGGACAGAAGGGTACATGGGAGGGGCGTGGGAGATAAGATTACATGAAAAAATATGTGGAAAGAATTACTCAACATGTGCTGGGTGTGGTTATGATAGTGATGATGATGATGAGGGAGGGGGGAGGGAGAAGGAGACAGGAAGAGGCTGGAGTGTGCACTGATGAGGTAGGATTTACCCCTGTGGCCTTCTCTCCGGTTCTTCCCATAGTTATTCATTTCCCTTGATGGGCTGCAGACTAGAAGAGGGATTCAGGAGGAGGCCAGGCCTGCTTCTCAGTAGGGCGGCAGGTATGACAGTGGTTCCTCTGTGACGGTCTGGGGCAGAGAGGCAGTCTGTCAGCTTCCCAGTGACTGACCTGGGAACCTGTGACTATCACCTGAGTATCTCTCCAGTCTCTTGACTTCCTGGTGCTTCTTTGAACCGTGGAAGCATTCAGATCTCCCTTCTTGCCTCCCCAGAATCTAGAACATAGTACAGGCCCCCAACTCTGGGCCCTTGTTCGAGCCATTGACCTTTTTTTAAAATAAAGATTTATTTTTATTTATTTATGCATACAAGAACTGGGGTGTAGGCCAGAGGTGCAAGGGTGGGAGGAATGAGAGGATTGACCAGAGACAGAGTGGGGAACAGAACAAGTGGATCTACTGAAATACACTGCTGAGGGGAGCAGTGAGCGAGACAGGAGAGGTCTGCTGCGCCATGTGGGTTAGCTCCCTGGCCAGTGCTCGAACTCATGCCACAGTGGCTGGCAATAGCTTGATAGTGCTGAGACTTAAACCCTGCGCCACTAGGGAGGTCCGAGGCATTGACTTTTGATGGTCAAAACAGTTTGCCCTAAATGGGTGGCTACTTCTTTTTTTTTTTTAATTTGTTTTAAGATTTATTTATTCATTCATTCATTCATTCATTTATTTATTTATACAAGCACTGGGTACAGTCAGAAGCGCAGGGGGGGTGAGAGAATTCACCAGAGCCAGAGCGGGGAGCAGAGCAGGCAGAAGGACCGAATTACACTGCTGAGGGGAGCAGCGGGAGGCAGGAGAGGTCTGCGCGCCATGCGGGACCCTCCTCTGGTGGCCGGGGAGCAGCCAGGGATTGAACCGGTGCTGCAGAGGCTGTAGGCAGTGTCACAACCCAGCGCTCAACCGCTGCGCCACCGGGGAGGCCCTACTTCTTTTTTTTTAAATTTTTTTTTAAAGATTTATTTATTTATGCACACAAGAACGGGGTACAGGCCAGAGGTACATGGGGTGAGAGGATTCACCAGAGACAGAGTGGGGGAACAGAACAGATGGATTGACTGAGGGGAGCAGCAGGCGAGTCAGGAGAGGTCTGCTGTGCCATGTGGGTTCTCCCTGGCTGGGGATCGAGCTCATGCTGTAGTGGCTGCATATGGATGGCTGCTTAGCATTAGCCCAGGTAGACTTTTCTCAGTAATTTTACTTCACAATTCATGGATTATATTCCATTTCTATTTATATCAGATACCTAATACTTTCTCTTAGTGTTCACTTCTCACATTTCACAGGAAAATTAAGTTCCTTTGAGTGCTGGAGTGCAAGAAATGGGTCGGGTTCCCCCCTTATTTTTTCACTAATTTGGATATTCTCTGTTTCTCACCTGAGCAGAGATGGTCTCTTCTTTCTTGAACTACTGAGATCTTTCCTAACTATCCTGAACAACTCCACGGGTCCTCATGGAAGGAGTCAGTCTGAAGAATGTTGGCCCTCCCAGGCACCCAAGGAGAATCTCATGAACTTTTGTGTAGCATTTACCAATGTGCAAAGCCCTCTGATTTTTATATTTGATTTCACTTACTCTTTATTTTTACCTTAATTTCATATTTAATTATTATTATTATATATTTTAAAAATAGGGAACACTTTGCAAATTTGCATGTCATCCTTGTGCGGGGAGGCCATACTAAACTTCTCTGTACCATTCTAATGTTAGTGCATGTGCTGCTGAAGGGAGCACTCACATTTAATTGTTTAACCCACAAAATAACTTGTGCGGAAAAACGAAACAAAACAAAACAAAACACCTTGTGTGGGCAGGAAGCATTAGCATCATCCTTGGCCAAACTTTGTTTTTAAAGATTTATTTATTTATATGTATGAGAACTAGAGTGTAGGCCAGAGGTGTGGGGAGTGAGAGGATTAACCAGAGACAGAGTGGGGAGCAGAACAGGCAGATCTACTGAAATACACTGCTGAGGGCAGCAGCGGGCGAGACAGGAGAGGTCTGCTGCACCATGTGGGTCACCTCCCTGGCCGGATATTGAACTCATGTTGCAGTGGCTGGCAATAGCTTGATAGTGCTGAGACTTAACCCCTTGCGCCACCAAACTTGAGAGAAGGGATGAAGAAACAGGTTCAGCTCTTCACTGGTGGTTACAGGCAGAATAAGTGACCTAGTCGGGGTCTAGAGCCAGCACTGTAGACACCAAACTCAGTATTTTTTCTACCGGATCCCACAACCTTCCCTCCGAGACCCTGTTTTGTAAAGGACAGACACTTACCTGGCTGTCTGAGGGGAAACCCTCATGGGCTGTTTCTCGGGTACTTACTACATGTCATGAACCTACTGAGTTCTTCACACTCATCATTTCCTTTCATCCCCTGAACAGCTTTGAAGTGTTAGGTATTTTTATCACGTTATCACACATGTGGAAACAGCTTCGGGCAGTAGTGGGAAGTAGTTGTGAATGTTAACAGCTCACTCGGCACTAGGGACCCAAAAGCACAATACAAATCAACACAGGAAGTGGGGTGGTAAAGGTCTCAGTGCAGGGAGCAGGCACCCACACATGGCTCCAATCTCATTAGGTAAAGGTAGGAGTCCTACAGAGAGGAAATGGGCTGCAGGTGCTGGTGGGCGCATCAAAGTTACCTCAAGGTTACAGGAGCCATGACTGTGTCTGGGAACCTCAGCGGGGAGGTGGGCTGTGTGGCCAGGGTTAGAGAGCGAGTCGAGTCGGGTGCCTGATGAGGCGCTTGAATGCTGAGTTCAGCTGAATTCCACTGCAAGGGAGATGTGAAGATCAAGGGAGGTGGGTATTCAGGCTCTTCCTGGAGGCACTTTGTCTAACAGAGAAGGTAAAATAGACATAAGTGTGCACGTCTGATGCATCTACACAAGCAATATGAAAACATTTTCAAAGCCACGTGCATGAAAGTACTGTACTGTACTGTACTGATGAACCCGGTATTGGCCACCGCGTGGGTCAAGTCTAGTAAGGTAGAAAGCACACAGGGCAAGAAGGATATCTCTTTCCACACATGAGAGCTATACCTGAATGTGGAAAGACCTGGATTGGAGGTCCAGCACCTGTATTTTCCAGCAAGTCTGCTTTTGGATTTTTTTTTTTTAAATTTATTTACGCATGCAAGAACTGGGGTGTAAGCCACAGGTGTGGGGACGGGGGTGAGAGGATTCACCAGAGACAGAATGGGGAGGAGCAGAACAGGCAGATCTACTGAAATACACTGGTGAGGGGAGCAGCCGCCAAGACAGGAGAGGTCTGCTGTGCCCTGTGGGTCACCTTCCTGGCCAGGGATTGAACTCATGCCACAGTGGCTGGTGATAGCTTGATAGTGCTGAGACTTAACCCCTGCACCACCAGGGAGGCCCCTAGCAAGGCTGTGCTTTTATTTTTTTATTTTTAAAGATTTATTTATTTATGCATATAAGAGCTGGGGTACAGGCCAGAGGTGTGGGGAGAGAGGATTCACTAGAGACAGAGTGGGGAGCAGAACAGGCAGATTGGCTAAAATACACTGCTGAGGGGAGCAGCAGGCGAGACAGGAGAGGTCTGCTGCGCCATGTGGGTAGCTCCCTGGCCAGGGATTGAACTTGAGCTACAGTGGCTGCGGATTGCTTCATAGGTTGCATCTTAACCCCTTGCCCCACCAGGGAGGCCCGCAAGGCTGGCAATAGCTGTGTCTGTAATCCCTCACGACACCTGCTTTTAGACACACCAAACAAAACTCAAACAAGGCATCCCTAAAAAACTTGATGTCCCAGAATCACCTCTCTCTTCTCTCTGCTTCTTTTTTTGGTGGAGGTGAATCAACCAAATTGCTTTCATGATTTCCCAGATTGAAAATCATGACTTTATCTTATCTGAGCCTCAGGTTTTAATCTGTACACTTGTCAAATGTCCACACTGCCAATCTGGCTATCGTTTGTCTTGAAAAAAAAAATCATGCATAAGAAGTCTTTTTTTTTTTTTTTTTCAGAAGTCTTTTTTTAAATAGAAATCCTCCATGGGTACAAGGGATGATCAAAACACACATATACAGTCTCTCTCTCTCTCTCTCTCTCTCTCTCTCTCACACACACACACACACACACACACACTCTCACATTTTAATGGGGGTGGGGAAGGAAGACACCTTTTTTTTAAAAAAAAGATTTATTTATTTATTTATACAAGCACTGGGTACAGTCAGAAGTGCGGGAGGGTGAGAGGATTCACCAGAGCCAGAGCGGGGAGCAGAACAGACTAGACTGACAAAATACACTGCTGAGGGGAGCAGCGGGCGGCAGGAGAGGTCTGCGTGCCATGTGGGACCCTCCTCCGGGGGCTGGGGAGCAGCCGGGGATCGAACCAGTGCTGCAGAGGCTGCAGGCAGCTTCGCAACCCCGCGCTCAACCGCTGTGCCACCGGGGAGCCAGGAAGACACTTTTGGCAAGACTTTAAGGGAAGGGAAAGGGCGTGTGTCATCCCAGCAGGCAGCTGCAGGGGGCACAGGCCTATATTGGGGAGAGGACGTTGGCACTTTGGACTGGAGCAAAGGAAGATGTGTGCAAGGAAGATGGGTACTGGACTCACAGAGAGACTGTCTGGGCATTTGGATGGCAGACAGGGCAACTGGGGAACAAGGCAGATTCGTGAGTAGCAGAACTTCACAAGGAAACTGGTATTTAACGAAGTTTGTTCATTTCAGCCTTCAAAACCATTTATTAATTGCCTAATTAGCAATGAACAAGGCAGACTAGCCTAGGAAGTCTCTCACGAGGGTGGGCGGTGGGTCTTCAAATAACCTACTGGTTAATTATTCCTTAAGTTTCCAGTACACTCTAGGCACTGAGCTAGATGCTGGGAAAGGAAGGAGAAACAGCTCCAAATCTGACTGCTGCCCTACATTAACTTACACTCTGGAGAGGAGGTAGGCCTCAAACAAATAAACTATTTGCTCAGTGATAACGATAACTTATAATATCATTATACAAGTCTTTAATTGCTATGAAGAGAAAGGAAAGAGCACCCAGAGAGCCAATTACAGTGTGAACCCACTCTTTGCAAGCTAATAATCACAACCATAATACTCCCAGATTAATTTACAGTTTATGAAGCCCTGTCACCTTCTTAGTCTCTTGAGGGCTTCATGTCACGCCTGTGGAGAAAGCCAGCCAGAAGCTCTCAGCCTATTTTATTAATGAAAAGATGAAGCCTCGGCAGGTGTTGTGAGTTACATAAGTCTGTCTGGTAGGGAGGAAACCCAACCAGTTCTGATTCTGCTCCGGAGCAAGAGATGTGCTTACTCCCTGGAGCCAGTTAGCCCAATCATTCCAGAGGAGAGAAAAATAAAGTGGCAAAAAGTTCATCCAGGGGGCCTCCCTGGAGGCGCAGGGGTTAAAGACACAGCCCTATCGAGCTATTGCCAGCCACTGCAGCATGACTTTGATCCGCAGCCAGGGAGCTGACCCACATGGTGCAGCAGACCCCTCCTGACTCGCCCACTGCTCCCCTCAGCAGTGTATTTCAGTCAGTCTGCCTGTTCTGCACCCCACTCTGTCTCTGATGAATCTTCTCACCCTCCACACCTCTGGCCTACACCCCAGTTCTTATATGCATAAATAAATAAATCTTTTTTAAAAAAAAGTTCATCCAGGCTCTAGGTGAGGCTTAAGCAAGGAACTGTGGACAACGAGGGGTAGGAGAGAGGCCAGTGTGGGGCTGGCAGGACAGCACAATCTTGAAAGGTCAGCACAGGAAACTGAAGCAGGATCACCAGAAATTGCACTGTCAACGGCATCCGTACCATTGCGGCAGTGAAAGTGAGCCAGGCCAGGTGGAGGTGACGGGCCAACGAAACTCACCGCTGCCTTCACCTCGGAGATGAGGCCACCCCACCTGCCGTATCAGCACCTTGATCGCGGAGTTTATCAGCGAGGTTTCCAAATGACTGGGCCCTGCTGCATCAGGAAGGAAGTTTTTGGGTCTACAATGTGGGGACGGCTGGGTGTGGGCCAGGGACTTGAAAGAGATAAAAATGATGATACAGAAATGGGGACTGGGCTGCTGACACAGTGGGACCAGTCTAGGGAGGAGGCTGGGATGGAGCAGCCACCTGACCTTACCCACCAAAGGGGGTCACTGAAAAAATCCCATTAACAGCAACAAAACAAGCCCTGTGAGCAACAAAACAAGCCCCAGGCCCTGCACGTTAGTATCTTGGATGCTGTTATTGGGCCCAAATATACAGTTTCTGTTTTTTTGTTAAAAAAGAATCTCTGTTGTTTCTGAACTTCTATCCTGCACCTTCAGGCTCACTGTCCTCCAACCACACCAGCTCTATGGGTTCACGTCTCCCTATTCCCACCACCCCTTTTTGCCTCCACACCCTTCCTTGGCTGTGGGCAGGCCTTCCCCAAGGCTTGCTGGACCTAAACCTAAATCTCCTCAAGGCCCATCTCAGTGCTACTTCCTCCACAAAAATTCTCCTAAGTGGAATTAATTTTCTTCCCTTGAACTCAACCTAGCACTTCACCTGTATTTCCTATCTTTTACCTTGCATTGTAGTTATTTAGGGATTATACAGTCTCAGGTTATGAGAGTCTTTGTTGACAAAACCATTCATGATTCCTCTTTACCCACCTTTCCCCAAGAGCTTTGCATCCAGTAGGTACTCAACAAATGTCTTTGATTGACTAACTAAATGAAGAGGGAATGAGGGTGGGGCCATTAGGGAGGGTAGGGTTGGACGCAGGGGAGTTTGGTTCTCCTGGTGGACTGGGCCTTGCCCTGGGACTGCCAGCAAGGTCAGCAAGGGGACAGAATACAGGTTTTGGATCTCAGTTTGGCTTGCAGTAGCTCTGTGACCTTGGACAAGTCTCTGTTTTCTTCCTCATGTGTAAATGATAGAACGCCTTCCACTCAAGATTATTGTGAGGATCGGACCTCCCTGGTGGTGCAAGGGGTTAAGACGCAGCCTGTGAAGCTATCCGTAGTCACTGATGCACCAGGGAGTGGCCCACATGGCGCAGCAGACCTCTCCTGACTTGCCCGCTGCTCCCCTCAGCAGTGTACTTCAGTCTGCCTGTTCTGTTTCCCACTCTGTCTCTGGTGAATCCTCTCACCCCCCATATCTCTGGCCTGTACGCCAGTTCTTGTATGCATAAATAAATACATCTTTTAAAAAAAGATTATTGTGAGGATCAATATGTGATCATTACACAAAAGCACTGTAGGGTAAAGAAAATGTCAGGCTTTTCTGCCCTTCCGCCATCAGGATAGATGATGGATCCTTGCGGTCCTGAATGTATGCCTGATGGCGGGCACCTGGAATAGGGTGTGGGCATAGCTAGATGGGATTCAGCTGAGCTAAGACTGTGCTTTTTAAGGGCGGCGTCTCGGGGACGCTAGCAGCAGCAGCAGTAGCAGCAGCAGCAGTATGAAGCCGAAAGAGAATCCGAGAAGCAGCAGAACCAACTCCAGAGAGCCCAGATAGAGTGAAGACTTGCTGGGGGCTGGGAGGCTGGCAGGCTCCCAGCCTCCCAGCCCCCCAGCCAGCACTCCTGCCTGCCATATGCCTGGTGAACCCCAAATAAAAAACCTGCAAAACTACTGAGGACTCTGACTCCTCCTTTACCCGGTCTGCATGGGATCAGAAAACCTGCACTGTGCCCATGTCCTGCCTTTACAAGCACCCAATACCTAGCAAGTCCTCGGTAAAATTTATTGACCAGTGTAGGGTAAGTGAACTGGTAGGCTTTTTTTTGCCACTAGCCTCTGTGGCTATCACCTGTGGACTTGATCGTGTTGACTCAGAAGGAGCTTGGGAGCATGGGTGCAGGG